CGAGGTACACTGCATCTACTGGCTCCCTTTCGTCCAGGAGGCGGGTCCATTCGTTCAGAGTAGACAAGAGGTTAGTGGTGCAGGATCTCCCGGCAATAAAACCATGCTGACAGTCTGATTGGAGATTATTAGCAGTCAAATGATCCATCAATCGATCCCTCACAACACATTCCATTACCTTGCAAACGACACTTGTCAAATTGACAGGGCGACAGTTGTCCGGGCAGCTTTTGACTTTTGTCACCTTTTTTGAACAATGGTGTCACTTGAGCTTCTTTCCAGTCAGCCGGTAAGATCCTTTCCTTCAAAGTTTTTCGAAAAAATGACGTCAGTGGGCCGGCTAGGACAGTTGCTAACTATTTAAGTAATCTGGGGTGGAAGCCGTCCGGTCAACAAGACTTGTTTGGATTTACAGCGATAAGGCGCTTGAGAACCTCTTCTTCTTGTGCTTCAAAACTTGTTAATTTAGAGCCGACTGGGCGCTCTGCAATAGCTGGAATACTGTTCAAGTCCTCTTCATTGAATACGCTACTGAAAAACTTATTAAAAACGTTAGACTTGCCCTCATCAGAGGACATCTTTCGTTGATCTACTTTCAAATCAGAAATACCGTTCTTTATCTTGCATTTCGAGCTAGCGTACAAAAAGAAGGCCTTCAGGTTTTTCTTTTGCATTTTAGCAATACTTTATTCGGGGGTTTTTACTGCGGTGCGACAGCTTTCTTTAGCTTGATTTCGAGCTCTTGCGTATAGGATCGCTACGAGTCTGAAAATAACGCTGGTAGGCTTCTTTCTTTGTTTTCAGCTTAGCTAGAACTGTACTGTTCATCCACTGAGTTTTTTAGCTCCACCTTCTTAATTTGAGGTACACGCGCATCAACTGCAGACATAACCGTGTCCTTGAGTAATGGCCATGAATCAGCCACATTCATGTCCTTAATACAGTTCGAAATATTCACTGCATTCACTGCTTCACGAAGTTTATCATAGTCGCCTTTCGCAAAATTTAAACGCTCACGCTTTCGAGGCGACTTTTCTGTACATCACTTTAGACTGAAAAACAATGATTGGTGATGGCTTTTGCCCAATGATATGATATGATATGATATGATATGATATGATATGATATGATATGATATGATATGATATGATATGATATGATATGATATGATATGATATGTACGTCTCATACATCATCCGTCACTCATCAACTGGAACGGTCAACGTTTTGGTCAACGTCAACAACAAATTTATCTTCTCTTCCATGAATTTTTCACTCATTCATCTACGCAAATTAAGACGTATAAAATAACGGAAATGATAAAACGACATCATCCTACATGAAATGTACTGCATCATCAAGTCCCAGTGTTGCGTATTAGAAGCAATGAGTACTGTATGTATTCCAAATTGCTTCTAACAATTCGTATTCCTCTCAATGGACAAATGCGCAAGAGCGCTAGAGGGTCAGCCACTGCTTTCACGTCCGAATTTCGGTGCTTTTATGCAATCTCGATCATAAGTAGCCAGTTATGTATCCGGCTTTATTTACTCACATTGCCTCGACTTTCTCTCGACACCTGAACAGATCTAATCAAAATTCATTAATAGCTGCAGAGGGTGAGAAAAAAAGTGTGGCTAGTAAATTTTTCGCAAAGTGTAGGCATGTGAGAAAAAAATTCTGTCGTTGGCTGCAAGAAGGACTGGGTAAACACGTGAGGTCGTGCAAAAGTGGTTGCATATTTTATTATCTCAATAAGTGCTATTATCTCAATCCAAAAACAGTGCGCAGCTGGTAAATCTTATTGTGTTCCAGCGTGGCCTACGGTTTATAGCTCATATTCTGAATAGAGCTATTTTTTGCTGAGGCTTGGAATTGGCAGGGTAATTTACGAGTTGGAATTTCGGCCCACTACTGCATCGCAGTAGGTGAGGCCGGGTACAGAATTGCCTGCTTATGAGCGGGCAGGCTTGTAATTGAATAATGTTAGTGGACCGGCGGTCTTGCTTTCAGCCCAGAATTTATTGGCTACTTTGCCCTCCATTCTTTACGATCAATGATATAGCGGTATCAGCGTTGAATAGGCCAAATCTTGCCTGTCGCAACTTATTGACCTTAGACATCGCAGAATTCTCACAGCTTGTTGGGATTGCGAACCCGTACATCATTGCTTCAATCTTTCAATCTCAACCACCCGTCCACCTTGTCAATTATGGCCAAAATTGTCACAGGAAGCTGAGATCGAGCCCACAACTCACTGTTGTAATCTTGGTTCTCAGTAGTCTGTACTTTGACAACGGGGCCACCGGGCATTGGGCAAACCTTTAAGAGTAAACTTAAACGAAAGAGTTTCCAGTACCGTATTTGCAAGGAAATCTATTTCCAGCAACTGCGAAGTTGTGAGGCAAACATTTCCTCAAGTTGGGTGAAATTTATAGTAAAGCATTCATTTTTCACTATCCTAAAACCAAATTCTATATCGATTGAAATGTCTGAATTAAAAATGTCTCGATTTAGGTCATTAGGTCATATTACGAAGAAATTACGAATTTTACAAACATAAATTCCGATTCTGAAACGATTGAATTGAGACCCTTGAAATTCATTCAGCCACTGCTCAATCGTACTGTGAATTTTATTATGGAAATTGGATACAATAAGGAGTTGAATGACTGTAGTTGGTGTCGGAAAACCTTATCTTGAAACTGCTGAACTTATATCCTTGAAATTCACACAGCCACTTTGCAGTTGAGAGGTAGTTTCATGTTTAGACTGAGTTGAAATATTGAATTGTATCTTGAAAGTCAAGGTGCTTGTAATCATGCTTCTACCTGTCCAATCGATCTGAAAATTTGAACACTTGCGTAAAGTCGGTGACAATGCATGAATCAATTGACAGAATAAATAATTTTGAAAATTCAATTTTTTTATATATCAAAAAATTTGAAAACAAATTTTTTTTGTGTGTTTGAAAATTAAATTAGAAATTTATTTCACATGTGTAACATCACAGACACTGGATTCTTTAGAAGTGTAGTATTTGAAAAGTAATTTTTATACGCATATTTCACCGTGCAATTGGCCTCGTGTATAGGCCCTATATTTAGAAAAGAAAGTACGTAGTTTTTTTAAAGCTAATGTGTTTGAAATTTAATGTTCTCAACAAGTGTTACTCTTTTATGTTCATTTCCTTCAGAGTTTAATAAGCTGTGCTGAGTTGGGCGACTTCGAAGCGATAGGCGACAATTACAACGCGACTTTTATCCTATATGCAAAGCTTAATTGGCTTATATAGGCATCCACAAGAGCCTATTATTCATTTTTTGTGATGTTGTTTAATATTGTTACTTTGTCGCAGACGCGTGTGTGAACAAATATTAAAGAGAGAAGGACATAACAAGCGTTCTGTAGTCTCAACTAAATCTATAGGCAGCGCGAAGAATATCTGAAGATGAGTTAGGTTGAGCATTCAATTTGATTCCATTTTCATCATAAATGTATCTAACCGACATCAATGCGCAGTGATAACTATCAAAAAGTCGTTTACTAAGTTTGTTTTTGGAAGACTAAACGCTCTTTTCCCGTAACCATTATTGGTTACGGGAACCATATTGATTCCCGTGGACCATATTGGTCCACGGGAAACCATTGGTTTCCCGCAACCATATTGATTTGATTTATATTTAATAGTCACAGTTATTATCTACTTACCAAACCACTGCGTTTAACATAAACAAAACTTAATTTCGCAGATTTCGCTTTCTCTTTATAGGTTATAATAAGCTCATTCATTGACTAATAAACAGGCGACACGTGATCAAATTAAATTCTGATATTTAGTTAAAAAAAATATATTTTGTCATTGGCAATGCGAGCGTCACCAGAATTTGTTTCTTTTTCCATTTATGATAATATATAAACCTAACTCTGTGACCAACCAAGCTAACTAGTCATATGTCATTGTGATGTTATTGTGACGTGAAATGTTTCCTACCGTAATAAATGCTCAGGAATAATAATCGAGAAAACCATTAATTTACTTTGTCAGTTAAAAATGATTTATGAGAATTTCAACGAGTGACTCGCCATCAAATTATATTGGAAGTGCCGCGTATAAACTGTAGTTCTATACTTAAGAGGGAAATAGCTGAATGCAGTCATTTATTTATAATTTTTAATAAGTTATAAACGCAGGCACGTAACATACTACATAGAACACGCGCTATCCGACGAAAATTAAATGCAAACCGTAAAGATATTAAAGAAGTAAATAATGGAAATCCCTTTAACGAATGCGCTTTTCCTGTAGGTATTCTGTATGCAGTCAGCCTGTCAGGATATTACGCAGAAGACAATTTTTAGGTACAATATCATCCTGAATATAGTTAATTTATGAGAAAATCTTTATGAATGAAATCTTCGGATAATACGTGGACGACAAAAAATTGTTCTATAGACATATAAAATTTTTTAAAATGACAATTAATAGGAAACATATACTAAATGCTCAAGATATAAGGATATTAAAAGAAGATGAAAGACATGTTAGGATATTGAAAGAAGATTTTAACGAGCGCACAAAGCGCGTTGTTGCGCTCTTCATCGACGATAACCTGCAACTGGCCGATTTCTGTCAGTGACTGTGACTGAAAAAATGAACGACATCAACATGAACCCATTGATATCTTTGTCACAAAAATGTTTAAAATGAACAATTAACGATGGAATCTAAAATATAATAAAAAAATTAATTAAAATTGAATAGATAAACAATGTTATTCAATTAGTAATGAGGAAATGAGAACATTCTGATATCACGTTATACCAATAATTTAAATGCACGCTATTAGGGTTTGATGGCTGGCCATAAGAGTATAAACCACCTATTAAGGAGATGTGCTGCAAAAATAGAAAAATATGCAAATATTGCTTTATTTTACATCAAAGTAAATTTTTAAAAGACTTGGATTTTGCTTCAAGAAAAGAAGATCAGAAACGCAGCAATGGTGGACACACTCTAAGTATTCGCAGTCAGTTGAAAATATTTACTTAAACAATCGACCGGTTGTGCATGTATAGCAGTAATTTAATTATAAATATGTCAAAAAGTACCTGGAGATCCATTTCATAGCCATGGCCGCGTCTAGAAGATTACAAGGTGAGTGTAAAATGAAAGTGAGTAAAACGAAAAACAAGAATTGAGTTCGAACAGTGTTATGTGTTCATTGTAAACAAAAGCAACTAGTAATAAAGCAACGCATCGGGCTATTCTTTGTGCAATGTATGTACCTTTTGTCTTAAATTACTGTGAATCTATTTGATTAATAGTCTCATTTACAGATTCTGTATTTATGATGAATTTTCAAATGAACCTATTTTTAACTTCACAGTTCCTATCTTTATTTTAACTAAATTTTTCTAGGTAGGTAGGTAGGTCGTTCTTTTATAACATATGAATTAGTGTAGATGTTTTTTCTATAATTTTAATGAGCTCATTTTTAAAAATTTCAAGTCATTTGTTTGTCCATATCATTTAAATTCAATTTTAATCTGATGTTTCAGGCACTACCTACCTAGGGCTAGGCTAATTTGATTTGAATTTCACAACATGTTAATTGACCAAGCTTGTTTATTTGCAATACCCAATACCTATTCATTTACTACCTGATTTGTCTAAACTTTGAAATTACCATCAAGTGTCAACCGGGGGCCTGCGGCTACTCGGGACAGTTTTGAGCATTTTTTTTGGTAATAACTATTAATAACTTCTTATGATGAAACATTTCATAAACAAGTTTATGCTCATTTTATAGCTCATTGCGAGGGCTATCGAATGGCATTGTCAAAAAAATTAAACATGCTATTCGTAAGGTGCCAGAAGCAAATAAAAAGTGTCCCGAGTAGCCCCTTCGAACGGGGCCATAGTGACAGACCAGAAATTTTTTAGAATCAGTTCATTTTTAATTTCCTCATTTACTCAAGATTTTAACCAATTTCCTAAGTAAGCTAATGCTGTTTTCCAATTTTCCATGATACTTAACTGGTCTACTTATAGGACTCAAAAATGAACTTGAGACCAAGTCTCAAAAATTATCTGCTCTGCCACTATGAACGGGGCTACTCGGGACACTTGGAATAAAACTTCATTTTAAAACATTTGAAGCATGCAGATTGCAGAGTATGCAGAGTGTACTCATCCATTACTAACAGTACTCTGAAGTCCTCCTTTTTCATTGTAGATGATGTAGAGGTAGAATAAGTGACATTTTCTGCGATTTTTACTTGTTTTTCCTTTACTGATATGATATTACCATATACATTAATTACCATATTATTGATGTGATATTACCATATCTATGAACAGGCCATTGAGCATTTCAACTACCTTGTCCACTGCAAGCTTCATATCAGCAGCCTTTATCATTTTTTTCTGTATCTGTAAGCTTACAGGATGGCTTGTAATTTCACACCATTTTAATTGGGTTAAGTGAATTTACTATAAAAAAAGATAGTGAAAAACGTACCTGAAACAGAAAGGAATGTTTTAGTAACATAATATGTTTTGGAGAAATAAATCATAGTTTAGGTCAATTACTTTCATTCTATGATGCCTGGTGCACAATTCTAAATATGACATTCTATGCACAATTTTGTGATGACTGATGATGCACTAATTTTTTGATAAGTAAACTTTTTTTGCTCAGTGAGGTAAATGTAATCAATATTCTTTGTTTTTAATCAATTTTTTTCTTAACTGGAGCCTTTGCTAACTGAGGTTCTACTGTAAATGTGTTTTTGGGGGTGTCCCGAATAGCCCCGGGAAATCCCGGTGGAAATGACCATTTTTTTTTTACTACAGACCTTAACAGAAGTAACTTTTCAAAATAAAGTTTTTCACCATTTTTTCAGGAATTTTTCAAAGCTAGTGAACGTAGTATTTTCAAACTTCCTTTATACTACATAGATAGGAAAAATGTTGACATTTACGCCACTATATTTATTATTTAGTTTTGCAATATTCCAATTAGTTTTGCTACTAAAACAGTTTTACGCCGTGTTGGAGGACTGTCCCGAGTTGCCACGCCCGTCCCGAGTAGCCCCGGTTGATGGTATCTATGGGGTATGGAGGGACTTCCTCTCATGAAATGTGTTTCTTATGTATCATTATTCATTATTACTTGCAATACTTGGTAAACCTACCTTTTGATTTTCCAAGGTGATCTAAGGAAATGTTTTAGTTTGACTGCTTGAAAATTGTAATGAATTCTCATATGAACCAGAAAATTTTGCCATGTAACACTATTATATATATTTATGTACCGTAAAATGGGGTAACTTAGACAATTTTTTATAAATGATGCCATTTTTTTACTAGCTAATTTAAATTTGAATTTAAACATGCAAAATACAGGTCTATACTCAAGCTTCACTCACCATAAATTGCTGGCTCCTGCCTCTCATAGTCTTTATGTAATTTCAAAATAAGTGATGGTCTTTGTTACCCCAGCTCTTGGGGTATCTTAGAGCGGGTGGTAAAATCAGTTATATTTTTTGGTAAAATAACTCCAAATAAATCCAGGTTTTGGTGCATTGTAGTAGAACTCTTCTAGTTACATATGCAAATGACAAACTTGAGGAAAGTGTCATAGTTTGCAAATGGGGGGCACCGCCCCATAATGAGGGAAATGTGACTACCTAATGGCAGCCCTGATGGGGTAATATCTGTCTCTTATACACATCTAGATGTGTATAAGAGACAGGAGTAGCCCCGTTCGACGGGGCTACTCGGGACACTCTTTTTTTGCTTCTGGCACCTTACGAATAGCATATGGAATTTTTTTGAAGATGCCATTCGATAGCCCTCGCAAAGAGCTATAAAATGAGCCTAAACTTGTTTATGAAATGTTTAATCATAAGAAATTATCAACAAAAAACGCTCAAAACCGTCCCGAGTAGCCCCGGTTGACGGTATAGTACCACTCCTAGAACTTGACAAACTGAAGTGAAAGCAGTTGATAAACAATGTTTGTGACTAACATCGTACTATTTTGTGCACATTAGAAAATGAAAATGAGCCCAGCAAGCCTCATAGGTCATATTTTACAGCATGTCTCTACTTAACTTTCATTTATCTATGTATTTGATAGATGACTTGCATTTTGTGTGGGCAGAAGTTCCACTAAATCATTTTGCTTTATTCCAGTTAAGAATCATTTATCTTATTATTGCCCTAATCACTGAATATTATACTTTGTTCATGGTTAGTTTTCAGCTTGATGTGACTTATGGCGTATTTGCCTAAATTTTCAGTTGGTAATGAAAAAGTATGTGAAGTTTTTTCTCGTTCCAGGTGAAATTGATCGATGCTTAAAGAAGGTTGCAGAAGGTGTTGAGCAATTTGAAGATATTTGGAAGAAGGTAATTGGCATTGAATTATTAGTATTAGATTTTGTACCATTGTCAAATTATGTAAATATCTCTAATGCAGCACAAAACATCTCTAAACTATAAAGTTTCAAAGTAATTCTAATTATTATTTTGAAAATGAAAAAGAACAAATTTTCCATGGAAGCCACAGTTTTTATCAGTTGTTTTTAAATAATTTGTCTAATTGGATTAGTGTTTAAGAAAGCTTTTTCATTGAGTTCTGAATGATGTGCCAATGAAGGAAGAATAGTTTATTTGCCATAGCTGCGATGGAAATGATAGCTAAGAAATAATTGTTCACCATTTGATGACAGGTTCACAATGCAAACAACACAAATCAGAAGGAAAAGTATGAGGCTGACCTCAAGAAGGAGATTAAGAAGCTGCAGAGACTCCGAGATCAGATCAAGTCATGGCTCACTTCTGGAGAAATCAAGGACAAGACACAGCTCCTGGAGAACAGAAAACTTATTGAAACTGTATGTTGAACTCTTGGAATTTTTTTTAATCCTAATTCATTATTTCTCAACCTAAATTTTCTGTGAAAGCATCTTGAGAGTTCTTTCAAACTTTTAACTAAAAAGAAATATTTAGAGACTTAGAGTTGATCATGCAGTTTCTGGCTTCTAAATGTAATTAGGTCAAAATGATCTATGTTGGTAAATTTGTTTATTTTGCCTAAAATCTGTTCATACTAGTGCTTTTTGTTATGATAATTTAAATGGATGCTCTGCCAAGCAAATTTTGTGTGATGCATTATTGAACTGGATGAAACTTTCCTTTGATATAATTTTCACAGCAAATGGAGAGATTTAAGGTTGTTGAAAGAGAAACCAAAACGAAGGCATACAGCAAAGAAGGTTTGGGTGCAGCACAAAACAAGGATCCTGCGCAGAGAGAAAGAGAGGAACTTAATCGATGGCTCAATGAAGCCATTGATAGTCTCAACATTCAGGTGCATCTCAATTACTATTAAAAATGTTAAGCAGCCTCCATATTGTTTGTGACATTTGAAATTGGTATATTTGATATTTTAATTTGAAATTAGTCAAGATGTGTGTGATTATTGAATAAAAATTTTCTGGGTCATGAAATAACTGCTTAACTTGTTGAATCATTTGCATGTAACTAATTTTGATTTTATCTTAACAGATCGACCAGTTTGAGTGTGAGATTGAAGCTCTCTTAGTTGGTGGGAAGAAGAAGAAAGCTGACAAAGACAAGTCTGAAAGAAATGAGGAATTGAAAGCATGGCTGGAGAAGCATCGATTTACCATCAAGAAGTTGGAGATACTCATGAGAATGTTGAACAACGAGACAATCGACCCTAGCGTTGTGAGTCTCATTCTAGGCTATATTTATTATAGATTTACTATTTTATTTTGAAAGAATAATGCTGCTTCTGCATGCATGACAACACAGGACTGTTTATTCCAGTTTTGATTAGATTTAACCATGCAAAGGGATTACTTTTCCTCATAATCCTTATTATTTTCTCTTTCTGTATCATTCATATACCTCTGCTATTGAGGTTGCCAGTAGGAGGATGGGTGGTCAGTGTATCAGTTTTGATTTTGAATTTCACTTATGCCATCCCTCAACTGTAAAGACGCTTGATTATGACTTCAAATTTGGTAATAAATGGGTTTGCTCAGCCTGAATGAAGCTCAATTAATTTGTGAAAGAATCATCTGGGCATGCTCAACTTTGAGTGAAGATTGATTACTTTCAATTTGGGATCAATAAGGCACATTGATGTATCATAGCCTCTTGGATTGTGCAATCCTTATGGGTGCCTCAAGTGCTTTTGACTCAAAATTTTTATGATATGAACCCTCGTCAGACTGCAAAATTTTGCAACGTTATAATCCTGCCCAGTGTAGTTACATTTTTACCAGAGCAGTCCGACAGTTGTTAAATATGTTTAACTGCCCTGGCCCATCAACATTGCACTGCCCTGCAATAGGCATATTTAAGTATAATTATAATAACACATGTAATCTCGTATATGATGCTGTTTGTGCAGTTGTGTAATATATATATATATTTTGTTTGCTGTAAGACACTAGAATCTGTTTTACTTGATTTCATTTGATTAGTTTACTTTTTTCAATTGACTCAAGCTATTATATTATTTTTTCAGGTTCGGTCCATCAAAGAAGATGTGGATTACTATGTGGACAGCAACCAAGAGCCTGACTTTGTTGAGAATGAAAGCCTTTTTGACGACATCGATATGGAGGACCTCGATTACCCCACAGCAGAAATATCGGTATTGTTTAAAGTTCTGTGTAGTGTAACCTGCTATCCTTGCTACATTGCTGGGGGCTTGTAGTTCTGTGTAGTTGTTTGTTGCCCCAACATCACGCTTGCACGGGGGGAGGCTCCAGTGGTGCCCAAAGGAAGGACACTGGAAGAGAGGGGAGATAGGTGAAGGACAGGAGGGTAGCCAGGAACGCTACTGCCTCCACGGGACTGTCCCACAGTGTGGAGACACTGAGAGCCGTGGGGAAGGAAGGGCAGTTAAAGAGAGAGGCACTGGGGGAGTGTTCAACCCTGAAGGTGTAGGACGCCAGGAAACTGCAGTAGCCCGAACAGAGCTGAGATAGCACTGATCGGTAGGGGCGAGGGAGGGAGTCCTATTCCGGCACAATTGGTTGGGGTTGGGTTGCTAGAACGGCATTGTTTTTGGCGACCACCGCCATGCGGGAAGCGATCTCTGCATAGGGAGCGCTTCACTTCTTCATACTCTGGCAGGTATGATGCCGTTTGCTAGGTAGGGCAAAATAAAGTGGCTGAATCTTGATGTAAGAAAGGCTTTCATGAGTCTTGCCCTAGGGGGAGCAGAGACAGCATGGAATGAGGTGTGGGTAGGCTGCAGGGTGCTGGCGAGGAACTGAGCGCAAGCCAGGTCCAGGTGATCGGGTACGGGGAGGACGCCATTCTCATGGTGGAGATAGGCAGTTGTGGCCATCTTGAGGCAGCTGGTGGCCAATTGTGGCAAGGATAGCTGTGTTTTGGATAGTTTGGAGAGACTCACTATCGCAGTGCTTGAGGCGACAAGGTGCCAGCATAGTTAAGGATTGGACAGGTGATTGTCCGATAGGTGGCAATGATGTCCTCTTTAGAGAAACCCAGTTAGTGCCAGCCAGGGCTTCTAAGATTTGTAGAGAGCCCATCGATTTAGAGGCTATGGCTCTGACGGGAGGTGAAAACATGTAATGGGTGTCCCAGGTGACACCTAGGATTTTGGGGGTTTTATTTAGATGGATGATACTGTTGCTGATTGTGATGGAAGGGTGTGTGCGGGATTGATGACTGTCTGGGCTGAAGAGCATGACTGATGACTTGCATGGTGCCATAGTCACTTTCTTGAAGGCAGACCAGTTGGAGAGGCTTCGTAGAAGCCCAGCAAGGTCAGCCTCTGCAGCATCAAGCCTAGGAGAAGCCACAAAGATCTTGAGGTCATCCGCATGTGAGGCAATATTGGAGACTGGTATAGAAATGTCTGAGATGAAGGGCGGTGGAGATAACTGAGCCTTGGGAACTCCTGAGGGAATTGTTATGTGGGGAGACTGTGTTCTGAGATAGAGGCAGGATAACAGCCTGCCGCTGAGGTAGCAGCACAGCCAGCGGCCCCGATTGTGGTGTAGATCTGAGGCTGCAATTGTGCTGAGAAGGCTTCAATCGTTCGACGCTGTTGAAAGTCTTCAATAGGTCAACTGTGTCTGTCACTGTGCGGGCTGGGGACCGCCATGAGTTGAAGCCCATTGCAATCTGGTGCGCGAGTGGGAGGAGAGCGGTGACAGTAGAGTGTCCTGGCTTGAAGCTGTGTTGTGATTGGACGGTAGTCAGGGAAGCCAAGATCTGCTGCAGTAGGTGTCGTTCTAGGATCTTGACTGCTGGGCAGAGGAGAGAGATGGGGTGATATGACGAACCCTGGTTACCAGGTTTACTGGGCTTTTTTTTGAGGATAGGGATAATAATTGAATAATTTGAATATCAGCATAATTAATAACAATAATTTTGAAATTTTAGTTCTATATAGTGTAACCTGCTATCCTTGCCACATCGCCTGTGGCATGTAGTTCTCTGTAGTGTAATCTGCTATCCTTGCCACATTGCCTGTGGCATATAGTTCTCTGTAGTGTAAGCTGCTATCCTTCCTACATCGCCTGCGGCATGTAGTTCTGTGTAGTGTAATCTGCTATCCTTGCTACATCGCCTGTGGCATGTAGTTCTGTGAAGTGTAACATGCTACAACGTACCAAACCTCCCACGCTTATCTCATCACACCAATGCAGCTAATACCATCTACCCTTCCACTTTAAGGCTCGTAGTCAGAGTGCGGCAAAGTTTGAGAGCGAGGTATTCGCGACTATCGTGTGAAATCTTCTATATGCCCTGATCTCAGCTAGTCGCTACCATAGATCTTGTAGTCTTTGTAATATGATATCCTAGCTGCCCGTTTTTGCGGCAACTTGCGGCGTTCAGGTGGCCGAAGAATGGCCAGCGGTTGGCTATAACTAATTGGACTAAAGCGATCACTGGCCACGTATTATTCTTCGCCCCTCATTGAGTTTGCCTTCACCGTGCCGCCCGTCGTGGACTGACGGCTCAGTAACTTACGATGTCTCTTTCCCCTCATACCTTCCACAATGCCTCCATCGGATTGGTTAATATATGGGCTTTTCCCTCCACGTATCAGCATGCTTGTTCATAACTAGTTTTTGGTAGAAAATATCTATAACAAGTAGGCTGAGCAAGAATTGCCGAGTAAGCCATTCAATGGAGAATAAAAACATCTCCATCAAATTCTCTATAAAATTAATTCTCCATTAACATTAATATTCAAGGTTTCTTTAAATTTCATTTTATCATAACTTTTAATATAAAGTTTAAATATTTTTTGTTACCATCCACCGCTTATAAATAAATAGCTGGGTAAGCATGGAAAAATTCATATCGCCATCTCATTTACGAGTGGAGTAAAGTCCAGCCTAGTTTGTGAAGAAACGCATAGGGAAGAGCCGAGCCTGTTCGAAGACCCATGGTTCTCAATCCGAGCCTTAATGCAACTTACCAGCATGTTTTTGATCTACAGTTGCTTGTTACAGTTTTTAAAATCATAATGCATGCTTGACAGAATTTAGGCATGTAGTTTTAAATTGCCGTATACATTTAACGTGGAATAGGAGTTTATAGTTATTAAAACCTACCTAAAAAATATTGATAGCATTTGCTCAAGACCTATGGGAAAATGGATGCCCAAAGATGTGCAATGTAATAATAATGATAATTGGTTCATTATAAGAGTAATTTCTTGCACTAGTAGTGTAATTTAATTTTTTTGATAAAATTTATAATCATTTTGCTTTGATGTGGTTGTAGTAGTGTACCTTGATTGTTTCAGAACGCTTTGGGAGGACTTGGAGGCGCGGACAGCACGGAAACTTCGACGCCATCTCCGTCCGTTTGTGGTTCTTCGTCTTCTCCCGCGCCGTCTCCAGCTTCTTCGTCCATAACTTCGAACAACAACGTCACAGTAATCCCGGCAGTCTCGACGACGGTGGTGATGCCCTCATCAAACAGCACCAGCAATGGGAACAGCAGCAACGCCCTCAACAACGCAGTACCTCCTCCACCTGCTCCAGCGTGTCCGAGCTCCACTTCTCACGCGCAGTCTACCAATAATTCCTCTTCAATTACCACTAATCATTCCTACAGCGGTGGCAGTAGTGGAAGTAGCAGCAGCAGCAGTGGCAGCAGTGAAGCCAACTGTGTTGGTGGAAGTGGCAGCCAAGCCAACAACACCAACAGTGGCAGCAGCAATAGTAGTAACACTAATAGTAATTTCGTTAATAGTACCAGTAGCTTACATCACAACGAGAGGTCCAACAAGAGGAACCACAAGGATGATTCCAGAACAGTGAGTGTTGAATTAATTGTTCCCGTAATATAGGCAATCTTTTATAAGTGTTTCATGTCGTTTTCTATCATGGATTGATATCGTGGATTGGCTGACCCAGATATTAAAACTATTGCTGTAAAACAATCTTAATGGCTGTTTATCTTGCAAATTTCGTTATTATGATTAAATTCTCGGAATCCTTTAAACAGGCTGTCACAAAGAACTAAGCATGTAGTTTCTTCTTTAATGCTTCATAAAGAGGTCCTTTTGAGCTACTCGTGATTTGAAGAGCTGCACTATTATGACTGCACTTGTTCACTGTTGTTCTTATGGACAGCCTGTGAAACCGGCGGCAGTGCGGCCTAACCCTACCAACAACAGCAGCTCGAGTAGCGGCAAGGGCGTTCAGCATACGCCCACCAAACCCGTGCAAGGTTTGTCCCCTATAATTATATGCCATTTGCTACGAGATATTAGTCACGTTCTTGATTTGAAATAACGTTTTAGCGTAGGCGTCCTGCTTTACTTAAGTTCTGGAATAATTAGAATGTTTGAATTTTGTTATCCAATGAATTTAATGTATGAATTTTGTTATCCAATGAATTTAATGTAACTTCCGTTCTTCGTGTCAAAAGCCAGTAATTTTTTGTTTGTTTTTGTCTGATATCTGCAACCAGTTTTGATCTAAGTCATAAGTTTGCATGTTTTAAATGGCCTATTCAGTTAGTGTTTACTATAGACGTAATGACTTCAATCGTTATTTGAACTTGAGTTAACCTTGCAGGATCTACAAGTTTGTCAACACCGAATAATAGCAGCACAAGTTCAGGGATGTCATACCTCGCTGCCTCCCAGCAGCAACAACTACTTCATAATTCAAAAAATTCCACTGCCAAGAACAAAGACGGTCAGTAATATTGCTGATATCGATGTTTAAGAGCAGGTTTGGAGCTCTTGAGCAGCATTACAATGTTATTCCACGTTATCTTGTGTAAATTTGTGATTCTGACCCTAAATATACTATCTGAACCGTTGGAGGGAGAAGAGAGTAGATCTTTAAAGGACCATTTCCGTAGTTTTCATCTTTCACTGTTGTTCTTTTTTGGGCGTCTTCTTTCTAAAGGTGTTATAAAGTTGTGGAATGCATTGAAGTTAATGCAAGTCTTTTGGCCAGCATAATTTTTCAGGGCATCACTTATTTAGTTAACTCTGCTCCTCAGGCGTGGCGTTGAGCAATCATGTTGGTGCTCAACAACAACAAAGTCAGCAACAACAGCAGCAGCAGCAGCAACAACAACAACAGCAGCAGCAGCAACAACAGCAGCAGCAGCAGCAGCAGCAACAACAACAACAACAACAGCAGCAACAACAACAGCAACAACAGCAGCAACAACAACAGCAGCAGCAACAACAGCAACAGCAGCAGCAACAACAACAACAGCAGCAGCAGCAACAACAGCAACAACAACAGCCGCAACACAATGCAACATCAAACGGACCTATAATGCACCACCACATACAGCAGCCTCAGTCCCAACACCCGCATAATAAAGTTATAGTAAGTTAACTTTCATCATCTGACCAGCAATAATATGTATTGATGATACCACGTGGCTTGTTGCTATCATGAAAAACAATTCAATTTTTTACCACACATCTATTTAACATCACTTCATGTTGTTTGTTTGTCTGTCTGTTACAAATCTTATTATCGATATTTAGTACGCTTCTAAATGTCCAATCGATCTAAAATTTTGCACACTTGCGTAAAGTTGGTGACAATTCATAAATCAATTGACAGAATCGCCAAATAAGTGCTCAATCAGCGGTAGTCAATTAATTTTTTTTTTTTTTATGAAAAAGACTTTTGTATAAATCTTATACTTCACAAGCAAATTCATTGTTCATGTGTAACATCGGTGACACCGGTGTGCTCTAAAGCGTGGTCTTTAAAAATACTTTTTAAATGCATATTATTTGTTGTGTTCTCATTCTTAATTTATATTGATGCTTTCAATGCCCTCATGTTCTTTCAGAATTCTTCCTCTGAAAATGGAGCAACGTCTTTGAAAAATATTGCCCAGAAAAAAGTCAACGAGGTTTCGCACCAGTCCAGTCCAGGTTAGATGCTCAATTGGACTCATGCATGCAGTTGCATAGTATTTCATTTTTCAGGGGAGCCTGAAGACTTTGCAACCAGTCGAAAAAGATGTTATTTTTGTGAGAATCTGCATCAAAATATTCCAAGCATCGTGAATATTGGAAGTGAAATTCAAAATTAAAATTTAGAGACTTCTTAGTTTTTGCTTGTTAACATAATCTACGAAATCGCTAGTGTAATTTTCAACTAATTTTTGTTACGGAATTATAAGATAGAGGTACTCTGGAAAAGGTTTGTAATGATTCTGTAACGGAATTCTCTTGCCCAAGCAGCCGCCTCCTCCAGCAGTGTGAGCAACACAAGTGCCTCCTTATCAGCGTCTGCTCCGAACAGCGCATCTGTAGCGGCAGCAGCAGCAGCAGCGGCCGCGGCAGCTGCTGCTGCTGTCAACACCAGCGCCACTCCTTCCACCATCTCAGTTGCCATGTTCTCAACTTCTGTGACTGCTTCTACTACCACTACGTCTGCTGCGGGTGCGGCCGCTGCCACAGGAGAGGCGCACGTTCCACCATTATTAGGAGTTGCTCCTCTTGGCCTGACGCCCCTCACTGCGGACCAGGAACTTCAGTACAAGAGGTTACAAGCAGCATCCATGCACATGCCACACCCTGCTGATAGTGAACGTCTCAGGATACACTTCCCAAGACAGCCCGTTACAACGCCTCCGCATTTTCCTCAGGTCAGATATCGCTGAAATCTAATCTCTTGCAAATTTTTGAGCAAATATGAATGAGCATGAAGTCTTCGTGAAATCGTGTTCCTAGTTATGAACGCCAACTGTCATGATGTGACAACACTCTGTGAGGGCCTGGTGGGCCTCTTATCTGGGGCCATTGGTCCAAGTTTTAGTGAATTTTTAGCGGTAGTGTAAAATTAACTCATCAGTTATGCTTCTTGCTTAAATTTGTTTACACTCCCTCCTTACTGCAGGTTCCGCCTCCTCTATCAGACACGGTGGACTTCTTCCAGAGACTGTCAACTGAGACGCTATTTTTTATCTTCTATTACTTGGAAGGCACCAAAGCACAGTACCTTGCTGCCAAAGCTCTCAAGAAACAATCTTGGAGATTTCATACAAAGTACATGATGTGGTTCCAGCGACACGAAGAACCCAAGGCAATAACGGATGAGTATGAGCAGGTAAGTGACTGCTCTTTGTGGCTAGAGTTTTTTTATGGGTTATTTGCCACATTAATGACCCATTTAACTATGTAAAGAGTAATTAAATTCTATTATCTTCTGGTGGATATTTTGTTCATACGAAACGCCAAAATCTGTTGAACTGTCTCTGTAAACGCAAGTGTTGTGCCTATCTGTAACTTTCAGCTGCAATGCTAAAGTATATTAGGAAAATAAATTGGACATTGCCGTGACTGCTCACTTCGTGGATAATATAAACAAAAATTTGTTGCACTTTGTGTGTTGGAGTAGATTTCAAACAAATTTCCTGTTATACAGTGAAACCCTCGCATTCTAAAAATTTGTTTGTGCAAACAAACTCTACTCTGTAATAGGAACCTTTTTACCTTTACCTCGCTCTCACAATACGTCTGTGGTTTCTTCTGTAAGCCCCAGCACTTTTCTAGAATTGTCTCATTTACTAGTTAACTTTACAGCTAAAGTATTTTTCATTGTCGTCACAGAGTGTATTTGCTTTATCTTGAGATTGTGTGCGTTGCTAATTGGTGTCTTTTAGCGTTTTCGCTTCGATTTTCTTCATAACTTTTTACCGCCCGAACATGGTTACTGTATGGATTTAGTAAGAATAAGCGGGTTCCCACTGTATTAGGAGATCAGACGAATGGGAAATGAAATGTTTCAAAGATTATGTTGATCTCTAGTCCCAGGGCTTAAACGGAATAATTTCTATTCACACTGCAAACTTTTTTGCAATACGTCACTGTTCTGCTTGTGCTGTCGTAAAAATAGGTTATTGTTGTAGTGCATTCTGCACACTTGTGTGAAACATTTACAAGTATTTTCTTATAAATCATGAATTGACTCGAGTATCTTTCATAGAATTTTAATTTAATTCAGAAATATGTTTTGATGCAAACGTCTTCTATTTACACAAACAATATCTCGATTATATAATTTTTTTTCAGGGCACATACATTTTCTTCGACTACGACAACTGGGGCCAACGTAAGAAGGAAAACTTCACATTTGAGTACAGATACCTGGAAGACAGAGACCTCAACTGAGCCACAAGTCATTGTGTAGCCATTAGCTATTTTTACGATTTCAGAGGTTTTTTTTTCTTCCATTCTGTTTTAGTATTTTTTTTTAAATTTGTTATTAAGAATAACATGTAAGATACTTTTTTCATAGTATAGTAAATTATATTCTGTACTATTAAAGATTTTATTTATGAATTTTCCTCCATTTCATCGATGCGTAATTTGTTGGCTACTCGTTCAAACCATCATTGGGTGTTTGGTTCAAGCTATTGCTCATCAAGTAACTCATTACTTACATCAAGTGACTCCCTCATTACCTACATCAAGTGACTCCCTCATTACCTACATCACGTGACTCCCTCATTACCTACATCAAGGGACTCACTCATTACTTACATCAAGTGACTCCCTCATTACCTACATCAAGTGACTCCCTCAAGCAGCGTCTAACCTCTACACTTCCAACTCGCATTTGTTTGCTGATCTTCAGCTAACCAAAACTGCCGAGGCGCTGCTAGTGAAAACATTCACATTACTTCTCTGAGTTTCAAGTTGGTGAAATTTCCCAATCAAAGGTGTCTAGCAAGTGGCATTTCAGTGCTGTGTTGTGCTTTCGAAATTCAACTGTGAAAGAACCGTAATATGAATTCAGATGAGCCTTGCTGCTTCCATAATAACTTTGCCAGTTCAACCTGTTACGTGACAAGGTTGTTCAGGTCATATTTTTTTTTGTGTTCACTTTTCCTACGTTATTTCTTCGTCGGTTTTTACGCCGTTCTTACTAAAACATTCATTTCAAGTGGTTAGAAAAGATATTCTGAAAGTCGAAAAATAGCTGAGTTGGTGATAATAAAATGGGAGCGTGTTGAGCCCTTCGTAGCAGAAATAAATATGAATTACAATATCTTTTTGAGGAGCCCTTCGCTCTTGTGATAACTTGAAGTCATTGAGTTTCAGTTCTGTGAAGCTCATGCTGTGTCGAAATGAGCATTCTTGCCCTGCTGATTTTGAGGATTGATCGTAATTTTGAATTTTTGCAGGGTGAACTGGGCTCCTATTTTATCTATATTCTGTTAAGATGTCCCGTAAGGTCATCTTGCTATTGAACAAAGCACTTGAGGTTTCTATAAGTTATTGGTGTCATTGGCTATATTTATCAAAATTTACTAAAGTTTCATGTGTTTTGCCGTTAATAATACGATGGTCACACTTTTGTAGAAGAGGAAACGATTTACTACTTTTCAGGATAGCTTCCATTCCATGTTTGCTCACGCTGTTACGTTCGCCGAAGTGATGTGCCCTGTTCCTACTTGCGACTCGATTAAATGGTAAACCTCAAATGGTGGCAACCTCGTGTACCAAAACCTTGTACTTTCCGTTACTGAATTGCTAACTTGAGCGGTTATATGCTCTGTAAAATGTCCTTTAGGAATCTTTTGTTGTTGGAGAGCGCATTCATCCTTCAATGAAGTCGTGGTGCTGGCTGGTGGTACTAGAATTACGCATCCGTTGCATAATTATTTCATTTTACTCTGATATGTAAGCAAATTATTCATCATCGAGCGAATATCCATCTTCGACTTCAGCAGTTTTGGTTTAATCTGCTTGTTTGCATTCTTCAATTAATTCTCGTCACTGAACTTGGTCGGTTTGTCTGAACATCTTAGGTACTCTGTTCCATTGTTTTCATCAATTTCGTTCATCCGTTTACAGAGGCATGGTAAATAATGAAATTGAAATTCACTGCCAAATGCCTTTAATGGGATGGGCTGAAATTTAAAACGCGTAGATAGGCTTTACATGGCTCGGGTTATACCAGTTAATATCGTTAATTTGTTGTCCCCAGTGTCATTACGGCGACCGCTTCCAGCCGTCTTTTATGAATATGTCAAGTCATGAGTAGCTTTCTCTACTGGCAATCGACTTTGCTCAATAAATTCGAGTTCCTAAATTATAGAGGCATTTTCGACTTAGAGTTTGGAAGAAATTGGAGATAAGTGCCTACTCGTAGGCAAACGTTCGTATCGTTCTGAATTAACGTTCTAAAGTGCAATATTTTATTTGGGCTTACAGTCTAGCAAACTCTACCTGCTTATACTGCAAGTGGCGTTATCTCTCAGCAGTACATAACGAGGTGCACTTGTTATTCCAGCTGCTGAATCATTCAAACATCTCGCGGTGAGTCGTAAGTGATCAATTTGTTTTACTAAGATATCGAGTTTTGCTAGTAATCGATTTAGGCGCCGAAACCTTGAACCGCGGAGCTCAGTCCCAACGTCGGTGCATTATTTATGTGGCCAAGTTTCTTCTTAGCCTCGCTTGTGTCGAAGTTACGAAGGCTTCCATTTGTGCTCGCGCGTGATGTTCGTTGTAGGAGTCAGCGAGGCGCCGCCCGTTCCGATGCCTCCCATGAATAGCATTTCCATTACCGTTATTCCTAGATTTCTTACGGTCGTCGGACGTTCAAAAACTAGTGTGGGTCTGGCTTCTTCGGTTGACCTTGGACTTCGTTTCATGGTGAATGTACACTTGTACAGTTTGAACTGCTGCTAATTTTTGAGAATTTGTCCAATGCTATTATAAATAGTGTAAAATATGTATAGGATGCTTTTCTCCATTTGAACCCTGTTGTCGTTTGGAAATATTTGCTGATTGTATACAGTTGTACTTAAGGCGCTCAAAGACGAGGATCTGTTAGCTCCTCCTCTTCATGATCATCGTCATAAGAATTGGATGGAATATTCTCATGAACTGTACATTATTGATACGAATCAGGTTTAATAGAATGCATCACATCGATTGGAGTCTATTGCTCTCGCATATTTTCTATGTTTACTTTGTAAGCGAGTTAACTCTGTGGAGAGACGCACTCATTCGACGCTTACACTAGGAATAATGGTTATGATTAGTACGGTATTGTGATGGGTAGAGCGGGCTTAGGGATCACGCCATCAACCGTCCACTTTCCAATGTACTGATCCACAAACAAACGCATTTTTTTATAAATTCCTCATCTTTGTGAAAGTTTTCTACCATGTCAAACCCATAGTTTGCGCCACTGCTTCGTGATTGCCAGATTGCCAACCCTCGGTGCTGTTAAGTTACTTAGGTCTCAACCTTCTCTGGTATTAATTGACTGCAAATTTACTAATTTTCATTGAAAATTGACTGGAATTGAATCGTTCTTTTTTCAGGGTAGGTGTTCATTTCTACTTCAGTTCTATTTAGCTATTCAGTTGTGTATCTATCAAGTTATTTCAAATCAAAATGCGTGCGTGTGTTTTATGATTTCTCTGGAACGGTCGGGTTTGATGTCGCGAGTTCTTGATTTGCTCGTGTTATGTGGTTAACATTGAATAAGATCAGAGTCTTGGATAAGAGCAATGATGGATATCGAAGATGAAGAATCGTTGTTCTGGTGAAGAGAAAGACAAGAAAATAGGAAAAACTGTGTTGAATTTGGCCAGATTTTTGTGTTTGTTGTGTCGGGCAAGAATTCTATTCTGGAAGCTTTTCAAAGGGGTACTGTTGTGGCACTGAGCGACATGACACCAATTATTTTCGAGAGTTGATTTTTCATTTACCGCAAAAAAAATTTCGTCACGACTTCTTTTGTACTGTATTATTGATAGGATTCACTCAAAATTTTGCTCACAGACATCTTGTCTCCTGTTTTTTTTTTTAAATTTTATTGCTTCCATGGTCAACCATCATCGGTAGGGATTTTTCATATGTGAATCGTCCTTTGCAAGTAACGTCATATCAGTTCCCATAGTCTTATTTTGCCAGTTCTAATTAAGTTCTTGGCCATATTACTTGTTCAGACGAATGTCATGCTTATTGCGTCGGCAGCATATTCGGCGCTCAATAGCGACACCTTCGCCTCGCCAATTAATTTTTTTACTTCTGATTTTTAGAATGGACAGCATTGTTCTAAAGATAGCTCAGCTTTCTTGTGATTCAAACGTCCATGTGAATGACCCTTCCTAACACTGTTATTTATTATGACAAAGTCTAGTAGGTTTTGCAACTATGGTTTGAAGGTATTTCACGAGATAGCACTAATCCTGTAAAGGCTTGGCGAATACGTCGCTGATTTGGCGTTTAAACACTGCCGTCGTTTATAGCTGCATTCTGCTTGAATATGTTTGCGAAAAATGTATGTCTATGTTGGTAATGTTCAGGAAACTTGTTGAGCTACGAGCTGTACATGTAAACTAAGATGATCTCATTTGTTGTAGGAGCAGCTGCGCTATGTTAATTGAAATCCCTTCTCTAAACATTGTATCGGCATTTCATTGAGTGGGTGTTAAGTGGTTCACTTGTCCTCTCTTCTTGGTATTTTGACCGAATTACTCCAGCTGTAGAATTTATTCCGAAATTTAACGATCGCCGTGACCTTAGGATCGCAATATCGGCTACCTGAAGTATCTCCAAATTCTTCCTTGAATTTCCTTGAACTTTCCGCTACCTAAAATGATTTCAGTTTTGTATGAAAAGTATCGGTTTGGTGCAACTTGGCAGTTTTTAATTGACGGCGAGCCAGCGTTCGCGCAGGTGCAGAAGTTGTCAAGGTTCAAACGTCAGCATTCCTGTTAAATGGAGTTTCCCGTCGAAATTAAATTATTGAGTTGTTAACGAATGGTAATTGCTTTGCATATCATTCTTTTATTGTGGATCTGAGTATGTATAGGGGTCTCTTACTGCTCTTCAATAAACCAACTTTTAGAACTGTTTTTATTCGCTGTTGAGTTGGGCTTATCCTGGGATTCTTCTGTGGCTCATGTGGAGATATTCTTCATGTTTATTTAATACCGTTAAACTTACTTGGTGATTGTGGTCGCCGAAGTTTGACGCGTTAGTGTCCAGTAGCTCGGTCGAGTACGTGAACTGAATTAAAAGTGATACGCTTGCAATCTTGTTCTCTTTCTCGTCCACCGAACTGTTTGCTGCTTCCTCGAGTTCAGACACGATACGAAAAATGCTGGGAAAAGCAGCTCTGATCTAATGCATTGGCTTAACCTCGTTTCATGCCGAGAAATATCCCACGTTCCTCTAAGATTTTACTTACAAATTAGAAGGTTTTATGTAGAAGATAGGATTCTTTGTGTGCTGGACGATGAGTGGAAGTTCCTCCAGATTTTGAGCATTTATTTAGAGGCGTAAATGGCTCTTTCCGACTTCTGAAGTGAGCTCAGAGTATTGGTAATAGTTTATCTATGTGTCAAAGTCGGCAATGTCAATGTGGCAATTTCATAATTTATGACGCCCAAACATTGGATAACTGGTAACGTTCATGCTCCCAACCGTTTAAGTTTGGCATATCCAGGCGTGTAATACAAGAAGATAAATGCTTTAACAAGAAATATTTTTTAATTTCAGCTCGAGGTGCTTGCCTTTTAATTTAGTATTATGCGATCGTGCTTCCCCATGACAACTTAGTTGCTAGTCGCTAAGTAATGGACGATATTGATGAATGATCTCTTAAGCCCGCCTCCTGTTCACCTCGACGTTAGGGATGTTTTCAAGTCTCCGTGGTGGCACATTTCTTATCGTAGTAACGGAACATAACTCCCGTCTGATAATTTATAGCATCCATTTGGGGTTCGGCCAGAAGTGCCGAAAGTCTAAAACCGAACGCCTAAATTCCTGAAACTAGCTGATTACTTTAACTGATTTTTATAAACGAAAGATTTTCGTACACTTGTTGTTCTGTCCTCACAACAACTAACGTTCAGGAAACAAGAAACCGCAGTGCAAAACAGTAATAACCTTTTATCTCGCGGAAACGTGTGAAGCAACTCAAGAAAAACGTTGCTAGTATCGTGAGCAGAAGAGCCTGCTACGATACGAGCGAAAGCAAACTTTACTGGAAAGCAAACATACAAATAATCGCTCCGGCACCTGAAACATTTCAAGTGATATTAAATACACTTAATTTTCCTGTGACCGATGTTTTCTTCACCCTGCCTTTCCTCATCCTGACTTGCGCTGCTCAAAACGAGATAAAAAGTAGATGCTCGTGCTCGTCTCGCTTAGGATGCTACTTATATACAATTCTTGATACATTGACATGCGAGTATATGTATATGATTAAAACTTTCCAGACAACCTACAGCCAATTACTTGGCCTGGAATTACTTCCTTGACCTCCTGGGTGTCGTAATCAAACAGGAATGGCATTAATTGCGACCTTTAATTCACAGCGTCTAAGGGGCCATAACTTCTGCGTGATTTCATTGTTTAGACAAGGAATAAGAAGATGAGTGGAGGCTTGAAAATAATTTTTCAATTCAATTGTTCATTCATGTTCAGTTGTAAGGGATGTCGCATTTTGTGCACACCACCGTAACCATAATTCTAGGCGCGTTTTGGAACAGGACATATCAAACTCCTTGCCATTAACAATATTGGGACAAAGGCAACAAAGACTAGACATCGCTTAGAATGATCATGAGGTATTGCCGTGACAATTGGAATGCTTCACAAACCTTTGAAATAACCAGCATAATTACATACTCAATCCAGGCAACTATTCAAAATCTGCGCTGGAAACAAATTTTCAACTTGAGCGGTAAAAATGAGGAAATTCGCACAAAATGTGCACTGAAATGAACTGAACTTATTCGAAATTTTATCACAAAAAGTAGAGAAGCATAAAAAAGATCAATCTGACTCGCGAATCGCGTTACGTTAAAACAGTTCGATTTAAAAGTTTGAAAAAAAAGGTTTTGTGATGACGCTTCGACTTCTGTCCACCATAATCACGAAAATAAAAATCAACTATAATAATCGCCTTATAAAAAGTCAAGAGTAGTTAGCACACAAGAGGCAATGCAAATTTTTGACCTCCGCTACGAAAACCTTTATAGCTGAAGCGCCAGCAAGCTATCCTACAACTATTAGCACACGAGAGATCAGAATGTGGAACCGGACTGTCCATTCCATTTGCAGAAAGTTCCGCTGATTATTAGGAATCTAAAACAGCGTAACTTTCTTCACCTTAATAAAAACTGCATAGTAACAAGGTGCTATGCAAAACACACATGCTCATTACTTCTGCAGTAGAGCAGACGACGTCGTGCCGTCGGTGGTTATCGGAGCTCAGGAGGCTTTTGGTATGGGGAGCTGGTGGGCGAAGGAGAGGCTTTCGCCTGTAACATCGCCAGCTGAAGACGACGAACAAGTTCTGGGAAAAAAATATACTTTCAACAAAAACAGAACAGAAATAGCTTTCCGACTAATGATTTTCAAGTCAGTAGTGGAATCATGTTGGCATATGCCGAAGTTTGCGGAGGAAAGTAATGTATTCAATAAAGATTCAAGCTGAGCTCAAGTTTTCCTAGTACTCTTAGAATAATTTAATATATGTAGATTATAGAAATCAACATCGACTAGAATACGACTACTAAATAAATTCTGATACCCAACAAAAATATTTCCTTTATTATGAGGATGCCAATGACCATGTTTCCTAAGGCATGCAACGTCAATTTAAAATTAGATGCTAAAACTCCAAAAGCAAATTTTTTATTTAAAATTGAAATCTAATAAATTTTAATCACAATATTTTAAGCTTGATTATTTTTCAATCTAAAACTATAGGCTAGAAATCCACAAGGTATTTTTTTGTGTAAACACAGACTGCGGTAGTGTGTCGTTGGGCAGGAGGCGGGGCAGCTGAAGGACGTGGTAGGTTAGCAGGACGTTCCTGACGGAGCCGAAGAACTCCGTGACCAGCACTCGCTTGGGGTCTCGTCGGTAGAGGTCGCGACGCACTCCCACTGACGAGATGCAGTTGTGCTTTGGGCACACCGACAACTGGGGGACAAATCAGTATTTTGATGCGCATGACGATGCTATTTGTTATTTGACGTAACGTTTTAGTGCATTTGAAGAGATTCAAGAACTTCCTAAGAGAACTTATGCGAGTATGCGTAATACTTACGAACTGTGCGTGACACAAACTATGAGTGTTACTCACGAACTATGCGTGACACAAACTACGAGTGTTACTCACGAACTATGCGTGACACAAACTATACGTGTTACTCACGAACTGTACGTGATGCGCATTATGCGTGGTTTTGACAAACTGGGCGTGACGCACTATGCGTGTTACTCACGAACTGCTCGAGCGTGTGGGCGCTCTCGGGCGTGACGCGCTCCAGGAACTCGAGGGCGTAGAAGGTGAAGCGGTCGATGATGTACACGCCGATGGCGGGGTCCACGTGATGCTGTCACCACACAATTATCAGACATGCAAATAATTTGATAATGGTTAGTACAATTAAATTATTGAACAGAGAACTCAATTAATATGATATGAAATTTTCAATGAAATCAATATACAATAATGATCATCAAGATGAAATATGAAAATAATTATAAATATGATAATGGCCAGTGAAATCGGTTAAATACTATAAGGATTTTCAAAACAGATAATATCTTCAATCGACAATCATATGTCATTGTATCAAGAAATCCCGTTAAAGAGAATGGCAGCGACGAAAGGCTCTTCTTCAATAAAACCAAAGAGTTTTTATTTGTGTATAAACATCCTTGTTTTGTAATCTATAGCGAGTGAGTGCGTACCGACAACGAGTCTTCCCCTACGAGGCTGGATGCGATGGCGAGGATGTTAGGGGAATAGAAATGCTCGTACATGCTGGCCGCTTGACACGTGTCTATGATGAACAGAACTTCGTGGTACCTGCACGGTTAGTGGCATATATGATGAACAGAACTTCGTGGTACCTGCACGGTTAGTGGCGTCTATGATGAACAGAACTTTGTGGTACCTGCACGGTTAGTGGCATATATGATGAACAGAACTTCGTGGTACCTGCACGGTTAGTGGCGTCTATGATGAACATAACTTCGTGGTACCTGCACGGTTAGTGGCATGTATGATGAACAGAACTTCGTGGTACCTGCACGGTTAATGGTGTCTATGATGAACAGAACTTCGTGGTACCTGCACGGATAATGCCTAACTTGGGCTGTTTTTTCTATAACCATGAAGGACGTGCAGGCGGCCTGAAGCGAGTTCATAAGACAGCTTTTTGCACGTGTCAGGCAAACGGTACCATGGACTAAAGTAATTAATAAATATTTGTAAATAAGTAATAAAAAATATGCTACAAATAGAAACCGGCGGATGCGAATCAGATTTTTTCATTGAAAGCCTCGTGCAAGAGACAACGAATGTTGTCCATTGCAAGAGTCTCAGTAGAGGTAACAATTCGTCAACATTTACAGTTCTAATAATTTCGTTTTCTACAAGTAAACAAAATAAGGCAAGCTTTATTTTTGTGTAAAAATAAGCTAAAATTTCGCAGTCATTTCAGACAGAAAAATGTTGAATAATTCACCTTTTCTTCTGCCACATCTGCTCGAAAGCATCAGCCAGCTCGACGTTGGTGATCTCTTCGGAATCTTGAAACTTGAGGAACCCGTCTCCTCCATGGCCTGAAATAAACACTAAACTTAATTGCTGCCACATAATTTCTTCTATGGTTCCAAACTAGTTTGAATTAGTAATTCAATGCTTAAAAAAATGAAAGTAAGCCGCGATAAATTTAATTTTAAGAGAAAGAAATCCACGTTTCGACGCTGAACTCTCGAAGTCTGAGAATGGCAATGAAGATACTTCACAGATGTATTGGCATGTTAGCCTGAACTGAAAAAACAGCTTGGGTCAATAATCACAACAATAAAACCTAGAAAATACCTTTAACCCTTGTCGCACTGAATAGGTATAAATGTGCCTACACTCGGTATTACTACAATTATTTAGCCTGACAGGAGCTAAGTGTATATTTACAGTATATCTTCCCGCAGTATCAAGACATATGAAATGACCACTACGGATGCCGCTATGTCGTCACCGGTCATGTAGAGGAGGACGTTGCTACCGTCGTCTGTGAGCAAACGTTTGCTGCGAGGTGTGGACGGCGACAGGCGACCTGTCAGCAGGCGGACGAAGTTTTCCACTGTCACCTGCAGAGAAAAGTTCCGCAAATGATAGCAATCGACGAGGTTGATGTTAATATGAACAATTTCGGGTAGGTTTCAACACATGAAAAACTGAAGAATTAAATGGCAGATTTGAATGCAATATTGATAAATACATATGGAAATGTACATAATATACAGAAATGTAACTGTAAAAACAAAACGGGTGAATTTGACCAGGGTGCATGAAAATGTTCTGAAACAACCGATATCATGTTTGATTTTGCATGCCAAATTCAAGATCAAATCGAGATAGAGCCGTGTAATAGGTATAAAAAGTTACGGGTTCTTGACTGCGTCAGCCAATCAGTGCCGGCGTTTCAATGTAAAACCACCAATCACATACAAGAAATCGGCCGCTACGTGTACCGAGGACGTTATGTGTACTTAGGCCGCTACGTGTACTTAGGCCGCAACATGTACTAAGGCCGCTGCGTGTACTTAGGCCGCTACGCGCAGTTTAGCAAGTTTTGACAGTACGGCCCCAGGTCTACAGCAAGACTCGCCTCGTAGCCGCGGTAGTCAACTTCAACGTCTTCACCGTAGACGTTGATGTGTTGGTGCGCGTTGTTGAACACCGTGGCGGGCCTGGGGTTGCGCGGGTTGCACGCCATGTCGTCCGCAACCATCAGCAGGATCTGACTGTAACACCAGCTAAGCAAAGACTGACAAGCTAAGCAAATCCTCTAACGACGATTATTTAAAAAAATGTGCGCAAGATAGCACTGCGACAATGACTGCGATTCCTTCCAATTCAGATATTCAGCTGTTTATAAATATAATAATGAAAGGTTAAACTACTAAATAAAGAAGGACAAGAGATTCGATTGTTTCGTGAACGAGAATATTTATAGCAAGAAAGAAGGTATTGAATCAAGTTGAGCAAAAGGAACACGTCTGCAGAACTAATTCAGTCATATCCATCCATCTGTGGGAGTGAAGAACATAAATCAAAAGAAATAAGTCTGCAGAACTGATTTCGATTATGACATTAATATTAACATTTCATTAGTGTTATTCTACCGTATTTCCATGCTATAATTCCATCTGTTGGTAAAGATGCAAATTACAAGAAATTATTGGACCTGTCAGGGATGCCGAGCCGCTTGACGGAGCGGTACATGGAGAGGACGTTGGCAACATGGCGGTAGTTGAACCAGAAGCGCGAGGTATCCACCAACACCGCCCAGTTATTAGAGTGACTTCTGCCTTCTTGGTTTAGGAACTTCTCAGCTTCGGCTTCCTGCAGCGACATTAACGATGTATTATACACTCCCACATGCCGGGAGCTGCGGCACACTCACGATCATACTGCATGCAAGCAATGAAGTTTCCGGCAGTGAAATATCAAGGGCCGCAATATCAAAAATAGTTACGAGTTTGCAACTCCCTCAATCACTGACAGCTTTACAAGCTTATCCCACCAATCACAGACGAGAATTTGGCCGCTTCGTGTACTTAAATGAGCTTTGATAATTTGGTCCCTGAACAACTCGCGTAAAGCTCATTAGGAGCTCGACTTCCACAATCACACGCGAGTGCAAAAAGTATCAACCATAAAGGCAATTGTACACAAGACATGGACGTTTAATAGTAATTATGAGATTGCGATGATATAGTCCAAAGATTAGGCGAGTATTAATAGGTCTTGTGATACTCACGGCATCAGGAGAACAGACAGCAAGCTGGACGACCAGCAGCAGCAACAGCAGGCGGCCAGCGTGCGGTTCCATGACGAGTTACAGGCTAATGCATCAAATGCATATCTTTTAAAATTGCATTTTTTGCTAATTTTATAGAAGCATCGCTCATCTATAACTACACTAAAAAATTCTGTCGAATACAAAGTTTCACGATGGATTAATTGAGGGCAACCACACGCACAGTTAAGGACGGAAAAGTTAGTGATGCGTGAGTTGTTAGTAGTTGTAAATATCGGTCAGGAAAGTTGGTATATATGGTCGAACACGAAGCACGCATCTTCGTCGGAGCTTATAGGCACTAAAGCTCAACAGATTCAAAGGAAGGCATTACGACACGATCAAAGAGTGCTAAGTTAAATTGCATGTAATTGACGCTTGGGTAAGAATTTTGGGCGTCGTCGAGGCCTTTCGTTATGCTTTGTTGACCATTTACAGTTTCATTCATTAATGTCATACGTGAACCGCGAATGAATCAGAGGCTGTATACATACTAGAATAAAAGTTCATGGTGAGCAGGAGTGTTGTGCGTGTCATATGAAGTCGCCTTCAGTGAGTGATGGCAGCTCTATTTAATATAATACGACATCAGCCATTGTAAGTCTTCGGAATTGACTCTCATTTGTTTTTCTGTGTCCGGCTTATTTTTACTGGCAATAAAGTATATAAATCCTTCATCCAATGCATACCAATGTGTACGAATTAGCTTTATTAATGATTTAATAAGAAGTTCAAGTATTCTAAGTTACAGTCCGCAAATTACGAATGACAAAATTCTCTTATCTCACAGAAGAAGTTGGAATTTGGGATAACCAACTTGGTTAGCCAAAATGCCATCACTAATGCCATTTATCGTGTCTCTTGACCCACTAGTCCCACTATGATTGAGTCATATATCGTGTCTCTTGACCCACTAGTTCCACTATGATTGAGTCATATATCGTGTCTCTTGACCCACTAGAGTAGCACTAGGATTGAGCTCGGGGGAATGCGCCAGTGTCCCCTAGCAGAAAATATTTCCACTTCCTGCGAGCTTCACTTTACTCGTCAAGTACATACACTTTACTCGTCATTTGCATACACTTTACCCGTCATTTACATACACGCAGACAATTGCAATCAGAGAAAATATAACAGGAAGATACAGAAGACATAAATACAGTTTGAGTTCTCATACAGAGATAAAATCAGACCGAGCGACGGAGTTATCCCGATTCCTCTTCTGGTGCATCGGAAATTATTTGTCATAATATTCTTACGTGAATCTAACCCCAATTATTCCGTAGGAATAATTACTCAGTGTTAGTGGAAGGTTAAATTAAAGCCGAGTGAAATTAGATATTTTACAAGGGCGTTTGAATATGAAAGTCACGACAGCATATATTATCAACACAGGCATCTACGCGAACCTTTAACTCCGTTGAAAATATTAAGCAACACCGATGCAGTCAACAGGTTCTGGTCTGCGTTATATCTCGTTCCCTGCAATCAGAGGATCTGCATAATTTAATTAGTTGGATTTAAAAATCTCGATTGCCCGAATTGCAAAATAATCAGAAAAATTTATAAATGAAGACAATGCTTCAAAATTTCGCCATGTCTCACCAGAAGAACGTTTCGGAATCTCTAATGTCAGTTCGAAAATCTTAGACTACAATCACTAGCGATGTAGCCGAAAATGACTACAAAATTTTCGCTTTCGCACTTCCAGTGTTGCAGATTCATGAACTTATAATCACTTTTTATAATTTAAACAGAAGTCTAGTTGGAATAACATAAAAGTTCTTACCCACGCAAACTTGTAAATAGAAAAGTCAGTCTGCATGATGTTACTTCATTTTGTCATTTATTAAATTAGGAAATTACTGTTTCATTGTTTTTTTTATGTTGATTTCAGCTGTTCCAATTGGTCTTTCTCTCATTCTAGCATTTTCGAAGTAAAGATGGAGCTGGACTCCGGACATATTTTTATAAAGATATGATGAACTTTAGCGGCATTCTATTTGCTTCTAAATTTTTATTTATATTGTATTTTAGCTTTTCACCTTATTCTTGGGAGAGTGAACGCCTTTTGTACATTACATTCAAGCAATGTATATTTCTATATCATAAGCGCTCCGTCGTCAATATAGAAAGAGCTTTGAATCTAGAGAAAATCCTAAGGAAAAATAGTAAGCTCAATTATGTTTGTGACAGAGTATGCTTAAAAAATACTTAGGAATAAAGGTACTTTTACAGCTCAATTCAAGAAAGAGTCCTAAAACTTATTAATATATAGATTATACGCACGAGTCAGATACAAAAATAATGCAGTGAGGAAATTTGAAAATGCATTCCCGAGATTCTGAGAATATGAAGAGACCTAACAGAATCAATTGACATGGGTACAACGCACGAAAAATCAAAGACAATGTTTACAAAATGCCATCTCTCTGTAAAAAATGAGGCTTGTTGACGATAAAATTTTACAACGAAGCCAGCAGTCTATGTACCTCTACATGTTGGCCATTTGTCACAATTGGCATCGTGAAGGAGTCAAGACAAGGTATTATAATCACATAAATACAGATCACCTGCTTTATCTTCAACAAATTGGGTGGCTCGTTTACCACGATCATATGGGAAGTCGTGTTCGTTCATAAATTAACGCATTTTCAATAAACATGAAAAACACAGCAAATTTTCCTAAGGATCATAATTAAATACAATTGTTATTTGGATTATTATTACTTACAATTCATTGGGGTGACTATTAAGCACAATTGATCCATCGCATGATAAAAATGTACGACGTAAATTCCGCTTCCGCTATAAATTTGCGTCCACAAAGTACTGAATACGACAGCATCCTGACATTCAGTATCATCTTCCTGGAGTAGATTGATAGAAACTGTGACAACAGCTACAATGAACAGCATAAATACAGACTTATGGAAAAAAGGTTCATATAGAAAAAACATATAGTTTAGTATAGGTATTGCCGTACTGCAGAGTAGAACGGATCACTGCAGGAGATTGACTTCTGATGAGATATTGCCGCACTCTGACGTGAAATGGATGAGAAGGATGAGGTACCATCAGCCACAGGACCAGCAATGGTATGTAGGTGCAGCGCTGGTCGCTTATCTGCGGTCGCGGTAGGAGCGGCGCTCGCGGCTGTCGTCTCTCCGACGGTCGCGGTTGCGCTGCAGGAACTCGTCCACGGAGCGATCGTACGACTGCAAATATTAGCGTTGTTAAGCACAACGTGACGCCAGATTATCAATTAGAAATAAGAGCCGGGAATTTAATATGATGCACTCAGAGAAATGAGCAAGACTTTGTGTAAATGGCGATGCAGTTTTTGCCCTGGTGTGGGTCATCCTGACCCAGTTTGGCCCGGCAAAAAGGCGTGCCTGCACTACATTCATTCTCTACTGGTGCTGTGGGTAACAAAGTGTGCTTATCTGGACAATATGACTCATTGATCAACGCACGGTTGGAAGTTATGGTTGAAAATGTAATAAATATCGTACATATGATTATATTTATGAATAAATATAACATGTAAGTTGTACATACCTCGACGTTGGCAGAGCGGGAGTGCGTCTTGTCGGCTCCCGACGCTCGAGCCGAGCGCGATGAGGGTGGTGGAGGGGGGGCGCTGACGTAGTCAGGAAGGGGGGGCGGGTCGTAGTAGCGGGGGGGCGACAGCGGTGCAAAGGGCGGCTGCTCAGGCAAACCACGCCGTTAGTGACCTCACAATCTTCAATGTTTCCTTCAAAACCAACTGGATAAATGACTGCGTGGCTGCTCTGTATTGCATACAGAACAGCCATAATGAACTGTACAGTACAACCATATAACCTAGTAACCTAGTCACCGTTAATTAACCCAAATGCTAGTTAACTACCACCAAGTTCTCACCAATTATCTCCCAGTTCTAATAGTTACCTTCATATATTGAATGCCAAGTAGTTCCCGCCTGCTATCTTGAAATCTTAAACTACATCGCGATTCTCTTGTATACCATAATAACTTCGAGGAAGTACCTAAATTAGCGTCCATCACCTTCTCGTCAGCGTCAGTGACCTCTCAATCAACATCTACCACCCCTGCCTACAATCAAGGATCGGCCAGTAGCGGCCATAGGTAAGCCACCAGCAGCAGGCCACCAACAACCATGGGTAAGCCACCAGCGGCAGGCCGCCAGCAGCAGGCTACCAACGACCATAGGTAAGCCACCAGCAGCAGGCTACCAACAACCATAGGTAAGCCACCAGCATAAACAGCAAGGGCAGCTCACGGGGGGCGGGAAGGCCATGGGGGGCAGGGAGGAGGAGGAGGACGGTCGCGTGCTAGCGTAGTCGCGCATCTCGCTACCAACGACCATAGGTAAGCCACCAGCAGCAGGCCACCAGCAGCAGGCCACCAGCAGCAGGCCACCAGCAGCAGGCCACCAGCAGCAGGCCACCAGCAGCAGGCCACCCTCAGGCCCTAAACAGCAAGGGCAGCTCACGGGGGGCGGGAAGGCCATGGGGGGCAGGGAGGAGGAGGAGGACGGTCGCGTGCTAGCGTAGTCGCGCATCTCGCGCAGCAAGAAGTCCTGGTACGACTGCACAGACAACCACAACCTCGTCACAATAATAATATTTATACTTATTATATAATATTTATACTTATAATATTATATTCATACTTATAATTCTATAATATTTATACTTATAAAGGTATAATATAATGCGTATAATCATAATCCTATGATATTTAAGGTGTACTGCATTAATGTAGTTTGAGTTAAGCTTAAGGAGTTAGGCATGAGGTCAATAAAGATTTTAGTGATCGAGGAATATAAATTAATCCTTAACTGAAAAAGTAGGGATTTTCGAATCCACTTTCTCACAACTAACGTGTGACTGCAGATGCTTGAATGGAAACTCTAAAAAACAACGAATATATAAGTAATGCGCGTTGACGAATTGTGGAATCAAACTAACAGAATAGGATATGCAAGCAAAAAGGCTTATAACAGTAATATGAAAGTTATGAAAATTGAAACATCGTGCTTCGCGTTACATTGATACATTGACATGTTGTTTATGATAAAAACATTGTAGCGATACCTACAGTGGTAATGATTGAAGCTTCTGTTATGTTTCTACGGTAGCAGTCAAATGAAATGAAGGGATAGGTGCATAAAGCTTCATGTGGTTAATAAATGAAAAAAAGGCACAGGCACATAAAGCTTCATGTGGCACATAAATATAAAAAGGCACATAAAGCTTCATGTGGTGTAGCCCTTTATCGCACAAGTGGAGCAGAGTTGTGGCTGGAGCTGATCTTGGGGGGCGGGACGCTGAACATCGTCTGCTGCTGCGAGCTGCCGCCTCCATAACCACCACCGCTGCTGTTGCTGCTTGCTCCAACGTCTCGCCTGCCGTACACGCGATCAATTAGTCATTATAATTCATCATTGTTTTATTATACTGTACCTTCAATATATAGTAATGAAAATAGCAAGCCTCAAATTGATATATACATCGCTTTCGTATATAATCAAAATGCTCAATAACGAGTTTCATCAATCGTAACGACAAATTCTGTAGCGAGCTATTTTGAATTTGATGCGCTAGAACTGAAGTTGCGACATCAAAAGAAGTCAGCTGATAAGGAAGCAGTGATCACAAATATGAACTTTATTATGATGATAACGAGTAAATGTTGGGTTAAGCTTGTGGTTGGAATAAGGAACGACATTAACCAGTCTTTGACTGTCGGCGGGAACTCGATTAATATAACTGATAATCAGCCTTAACTTAATAACTAAAATAACTAATGGTATCACCTGAAGGCAGAGGATGAGGAAGAAGAGCGGTATGGGGATGAGGGATGCGCAGGGGAGCGGTCCCTGCCTCCCCTCACCCCTTCTCCTCCCCCGCCGTAGCCCCCGCCTGTGTTCACACATACGTAGATGAGACGCCGATGTATATATATAAGTAATGGGTCAGGCCTCTAGGGGCGTTACTAACAATTTAAAAGTCTATTTACCAAAACAAACTCATTGGTCTTGTCGTCAAGAAGATATTGACCATGACCAAAACAAACTTACTGGTCTTGTCGTCAAGAAGATATTGGTCATGACCAGGTCATGACCAAAACAAACTTACTGGTCTTGTCGTCAAGAAGATATTGGTCATGACCAAAACAAACTCACTGGTCTTGTCGTCAAGAAGATATTGTTCATGACCAAAACAAACTTACTGGTCTTGTCATCAAGAAGATATTGGTCATGACCAAAACAAACTTACTGGGCTTGTCGTCGAGCTCCCGACTCCTCTTAGGTCGAGGACCTGCGTCGTAGTCCTCGTCATCGTAGCGCTTCCTCCTGACGCCTCCTCCGCTGTAACCCTCCCCATCACCAGCGTAACCCCGTCCGCGGCCTCCCCCACGGCTGTAGGAGCGCCCTCAATTTAGAATTATGGTACTATACTAAGCAAAACTAAACGTGTGTTTTCCGGGGTAAAAGCTCTATGAGTAAAATGGCTTCCTTCATTCGACTGACGGTCCCGTGAATGAAATTATTATCCTTTCTTATATTCTTCAATCAGATTATATTCGAAGTAATGATATTCACTGAAAAAAAAGACCCGTCAACTGTCTCTATTGGAAGATTATATTGATTAAATTCTTCCTTTAAACAACATTAATAGCCGACTGAAGTGTCCGCCATGCATCTATTTCTGGACATTATATAGATGCGACTAAATGCAGCACATGGCTAATATGGAACTAGCCGAGACCTTACGATGTTAATGTTCATGTAAGGCACCTCAAACCCTAAAAAGAGTGATATACTGACGACACGTTCACCCACGAATGCACAGAGTCTGCATTTCCTTACCTTATCCCAGGCCACGATTATCTCATTGAACTTCACAATATTATCGCCATTTAAACTCAAAACTGAAATACTTTTTTCAAAGGGAGCAAAAAAAAGTACTTTGACAACGGACAATAATATCGGCCCTGTATTTAGTTGCCAATAACACATCAATCTGACAAAGCACACGCAACACACAGATATTTTGCTATAAAAACGAAAAATACGACTGCGTACGGGTCATCTGAGCATCTAAATCAAAGCATATTGGGTGTACGTAATAATTTAACGATAAAATTATTAGACAGAATGCTTGGAAATTTCTGAACGTAAGCCTTTAAGGTTTGACTAGCATATTAAAGATTATGCTTGAATCTTGTCTGGTTCTTCCTCTAATGACGGAAAATGTCATGCTTCATAGCGGCTAACGACGTTCACAACGACGTTCAGCCCGAGGCAACCACTTCGGTTGATTTGTTATAATTTAAAAAATATTTTACATGAGGAGCATCACTTGAAAGCACAAGGAATCTGGACAAGAAGTAAGGAGGTACTCACCTAGTCTGCGGAGACAAGAACGAGGGTATCTAGCTGAGAGAACCCCTTTGAAGACGACTACGCAACAGCTTCGTTCCACATTTGTATTTAACACCGTGTAATCGTCACGTACGGTAAATTATCAAGTTCGTTTGCACAAAGATTTGGATTAATGTGAAACTTGAAATATTGAGATAATTGAATCACTCGGGCAACATATTTAACTCGTGTGACAATCTAACACAGCCCTTGAAAACCTCGTTTTACATGAAAAGTTTTTGATCTAGTACTATGGCCAGGAAAGCTCAATACAATAACACAGCAACAGCTGTCAGTTCACAAAAATCTGCCAAGTGGCCACTGAACAATAAAAGAATCAATTATGAACTCTATCTTCAAGACCGCGATCCACTCTGGGCAACGCTACTGACGAAACAGGCCAATTCACTAAGTGATAAATTTGAATGAACTTTGGATTTAGTGATTTCCAAAAGACACATGACGTATTGATGACATTATGCAGATGGAAATCGGTTCACCTCAAACGAATTCTCAATCGCAATACGTTATTAGAATGAGAATTGTGGCCAAATACTTTAACGTTAATTGGATCAAGAACCGCGGGCTGTAGAGGCGTTTTCTCAGCAAGCAATCCCGAGTGCCTGAGTCGTACTCTCCTCTCTTAATTTGTTTTACCATCGGCTTTCAACTGGCATTGAGCAGGTGAGAGCCTACGCTTGAATTATTATGTGGTTAAGCCGTTTGCCGTCTTTAACTGGCATCGAGCAGTTAAAAACGCTCACGTCGATCATGAATATTAGAAAGGCACAGCCGTAATGGTTCTCAACTGGCATCGAGCAGTTGAAAACCGGCCTTCATTTTTAATCAAATAATATCCTTAACTGGCATCGAGCAGTTAAGAATCATTTCCTTACGTTGACTGAATGGGAATAAGAATCTAAATTGGCATGGAGCAACTGAGGATCTAATAGCATAGTTATTGCTTAGCTCGAAGTACCTTTACCGTTGGGCGCAGAAGTCATGCACCAGAGATTCTCCTCGTGTACAAACCGTGAGTTGCGGTGGACATGCCTCGGTCAGATATTAGCTTAATTAGGTGGAAAGCAAGACTGGCATTGGGCAGTCAAGCCTTCAACTGATTTTCTTCACCAGAAAATCCCTGGTTAGCTATCAGCTAATCTTGAGATCCACAGCACAAGGGGCTTTCATAATAACAGCTTCAGATTTGCACCATGTAGTCCATTTTTTTGCCTGAACAAATATCACATCACCGTCAGAGACAAGAATGCCTCTATTTCGAAATTTTAATTGAATGAAGCAAGTCCTCTTATTATCTACGTCGTCCATACAGCACTTGTCACACGTCCTCCTCACAAGAAAGTTCCTTAAGCCTGAGTAGCACTAGAGAAATATATCACCGCTCTCGGAGGTCACGTGGGCACACTATTCATTTGTTAAAAAAAATCAGAGTTCCCTTTTTCAAACAACTAAAACACTGAGGAGAAAATCCATACATTCGAATGCTTTCTTCGAGCTGTGAAGAAATAGAAAATTAATATCAAATAAGCAAGAACAAGGAAGTCTCAAAGGTTACTAATGCTCGGCAAGAAGCAACAAGCCTTGTGCCGCAGGAAAATTCAAAGTTAAACTACACTTCAATATCTAAAATTTCGGAAAAATAGGAATAGTGAAAACTAATTATATTTAGAATAAAAAACTGAAAAATTCATCAAAAGCACTCTTGTCAAGTCGTCACCTCAGGAGTACAGTTCAAGATTTCGCTCTTCTGATACTATTTTCACTGTATTTAGTTTAAATCAAGACCACATGAGTATGAACAATGGAAAAGATGAGCACTTCAGATGGGAGTCTTATCAAAAGATAACACTTGTAAGAGCAAAATGAAACATTAAAAACAATCAATTAGAAGTTATAAAGTAAGCGGCGGCACAAGGGCTTCGTTGCTTTCGAGAGCATTCAGAAGATCACCATGAGAAATCTCAGAGACAAAGTTGTGATAAAATAGGATGTCGGTATTCCTAAACTGTTAATTTTGGAGTGAAGTGTCTGTAAAATGTAATTGTTGCTCGAGATAAAATGAAACATTAGAAAGTGAATTAAGAATGAGAACTCATAACATAGATATGGCTTATTATATGACGATTTGCATCCTTGCACAAGGGATGATGATGATGTTTGGGTTAGTTTACTATGTATCAACAAACAAATTCAGTTGCAAATAAAATATAGCAGAACTATAAAATTTCGGTACGTAACATCTTTAATAAATCGAATACTCTCTAATTTTGCCATATGAAAAACTGTAATATGAGAACTCTGAGAATTTGACGATGAAGCGATTTCAACGAGCAACACGAATTAGGAGTGCGGTGATCTAAACAAAAGTTTGATGATGTCTACATATAATTTCATTACTATTGGTATTCAGATGTTGTTCATTAAGGCTAGATAGTTGAAATAAATAACAGAAGAGAGTAGCATGTTAATATAATTTACACCAGTTGATGTCAGAAATGCAGATATTCTATGTTTGAAAATTAAACTGGAGTGAATTTAGAAACTGATAAAATAAACATCTATTAATGTGCTGTAGAAACTAATTTTGCTCACTAATCACCAGGACCACAAGCTTGTCTATCATATGACCTTTTATCCAGCTGAAGACCACAGACATGTCCAGTGCAGACATGAAATTTTTTCCAAACAATTCAACGAGATATGGTGGAAGCAACGGCTGATTCTTCCATACAGGGAATCTTTCAGGTAGTGAATCTATCAACTTTGCTCGAAGCGGAGCCGCTTCTTCAGATTAAACTTTCTCAGGTCGGAGATATGAGCACAGCGACCAACCTGAAGTATTCTGTCCGTGCACCGCGGAACGACTGGCGCCCGGACATTCCACCAGCTCCACCGTCACGACGGGCATTTCCACCTCCTCCTCCACCTCGACGATCCCCTCCACCGAAGCCTCCTCCTCTTGATCGCTGCTGGAAATCACCGCCGCCTCTTCCACCACGAGATCGGAAAGAGGCGCTGTAGTAATGATCTCCTCCACCGGAGCGATAGTTAAAGTTCGAGTTATAATTTGCAGCAGCGTTGAAGTTGGCACCAGGTCCATTGCGGCCGTTATTGCGGCGTTCGCCAGGGAGAAGCAAGGGGCGCCGTATGGGGCCACGATTAGAGCCGGCGGTGGCCTTAGCTCGTTTCTTGCTGCGTAACAAAGCGGATGTCAGCGACACTGTTTCATCTTTAGGAAATAGTCGGCACAGTTCCTCCGCTACACGGGGCTCGATTTCCTGCACAGGCACCACACATTATCTCAGGTTATCACTACATTATAGTCGAAGCTATGGCTAACTGGGGTTGATAGTTCAACATCTGCACTAATGTTAGAAGAGACGTACGGGAATACAGCAATAATGAATCTCAAATACATCTTTCGGTTACAAGCGTTGAAAAAATTCTAAGGTTTTATATGGACTTTTGAACTTAATCCATCGTTTCTTTTGAAAACTAATTTTGCCACGGGAAAAATTACTCGTTTTTGGCTAGCTGAATTGCACAAAAATCATCACTTTGGTAGCCTTCTTTACAAGCGCTCGCTTCATTCTTAGGGTGACATTGTCCCTTCCTGTCACCAACTAATTCAGTACGCTGCACGAGTCATACCCAAGCTAACACATGCATTTATATTACCTATACAGCCATCACATCCATAACATCCATAACATCATGGATATTTCCTAGTTGCGAATAGTAAAAATAAGTGGTGGCACCAACTAATCGCGGCGTTTTCTTTTATGCAGTTCAAGTTGTGAGTTTTCACCTGTCCGTCTCTGCCGATTTTGACAGATTTGCCTTCATTCCAGGGATTGTAGAGATGTAGAGTTTTGGAGAAAGGCAAGTCCTTCCTGAGGAGCACAAACGTTTAATTTTACTTGCTGGATAAAATTGCATGCTTTAATAGATAGAAATTTACATCCGTTTGCTAAAACGCATGAAAAATAGCAGAAGTTTTACTCTTGTGAGTAGAAGGACAAAAATTTCCAAAATTGAACATTGAGAAGCACAGAATTAAGACAGCATTGCTGACATACTATCAAGATTGAATGGTGAGTAGAGATTGTGCGTCGTGCGATGTATTTACTGATACACAGCAAATACAATAATTGTCAACTATGGGGAGAAATTGTGCATTGTTAAAAACCTAAATTATTCGAGAATTTACACAGGGACCGAATATGGATGATTGTCTAAATGCCTTTAGTTATTTTTACACAAACTGAAGGCTGTTGAGGAAATGGAACTAAAACCACACCGCCCATGTACAAAGTTAACCAAGCCAAAACATTTTTGAAAGGTAAATTGAAGTAAATTTTCTAGTCAGACTTGGAGATCCAGTCGAGGGTGAAGACGCCCCCAAGGGCACGAGCTGACAGCCCTGGCGGCAGCACCCAGCTCACGGGGGGCAGATCTCGGCGGCTCTCGCCAGCCACGCGCGCGAACCCTGGCAACATGAGGACAATTGTGACGAAATTAACGTAGAAAGATAATGCTTGTGTGTTTATCGTGGAGGGCAAACACAGTGATGCAACTTATAATAAATCAAGACTTGATAAGTTTGGGTAAAAAAACACATATACATATTGTAGGCCGAGATAGGTATACATTAAATTTTGCAAACAATTCTGTACAGAGAGGCTTCTGCAGACAGCGTGCTTGGCGCGCAGACATCAAGCTGCTCACTGCAGAACTCACCACTCACTGCAGAAATCGCAACTCTCCACAGAAATCGCCACTCTCCACAGAAATCGCCACTCTCCACAGAGCTCGCCACTCTCCACAGAGCTCGCCACTCTCCACAGAGCTCACCACTCACCGCAGAACTTGCCACTCTCCACAGAGCTCGCCACTATCTACAGAAATCGCCACTCTCCACAGAAATCGCCACTCTCCACAGAAATCGCCACTCTCCACAGAAATCACCACTGTCCACAGAGCTCGCCACTCCCTACAGAGCTCGCCACTCTCTACAGAGCTCGCCACTCTCTACAGAGCTCGCCACTCTCCACAGAGCTCGCCACTCTCCACAGAGCTCGCCACTCTCCACAGAGCTCACCACTCACCGCAGAACTTGCCACTCTCCACAGAGCTCGCCACTCGCCACAGAGCTCACCACTCACCGCAGAACTTGCCACTCACCGCAGAACTTGCCACTCACCACAGAGCTCGCCACTCTCCACAGAGCTCGCCACTCTCCACAGAGCTCGCCACTCACCACAGAGCTCGCCACTCTCCACAGAGCTCACCACTCACCGCAGAACTTGCCACTCACCGCAGAACTTGCCACTCTCCACAGAGCTCGCCACTCGCCACAGAGCTCACCACTCACCGCAGAAGTTGCCACTCGCCACAGAGCTCGCCACTCTCCACAGAGCTCGCCACTCTCCACAGATCTCACCACTCTCCACAGATCTCACCACTCTCCACAGATCTCACCACTCACCACAGATCTCACCACTCACCACAGATCTCACCACTTACCACAGAACTTGCCGCTCTCCTTGACCGAGTACAGGAGGATGACGTTCCTGCATTCCTTCACTGCCTGGTTGACTTTAGTTTCGTTCTGTGGAGGCGTAGACCACACGCCCTTGCTTTTAGATAGCGCGATGTTCTCCTCGTTGTTGGACTTCATGAGGAAGAACCTGGCCTCGCGGAACAGGTAGTTGATCTTGGTGATATAGTCGTACTTCTTCTTGCCGGTCGCCGTCGAAGTCGCGTTGGTGGCCACCTGCTCTTCAGTATCTTCAGTTTTCTCTGTAAGTTCGAACATAAAGCTGTTCATGTTTTGGGGATTTGGTTGAGGAAAGTGGGTAGATTTTCTAGTAAATTCACATTAAAGCAGCTATCGAGTTCAGAACTAATGACTGACTGCTCAAACTGAGGGCAGTAAACAGACAACGTTAATTTTTTAAACTTTGCAAAACGCTGCACATGAGGAAACATGGGCAGAAATAAATCTGTCGTGAAACTGCTTAATGTTTCAGCAATCCTGAAACATTGCACTAGAAATCAATTGTATCAACTAAACAGATAATAATAATAATTATAACAACAATAGTAGAAGTTTCTGCATTTTTTAGGCTGTAGACCTGTCGCCGATTCTTAACATCGCAGAACATTCAAAGCTTGTTGCGGCCACGAACTCGCAACTCACAGCTCAAATTTTGATTTACTTAATCACCCGACCTCCTTGAGAATTCTGACCAGAAACTGGCGCATAGAGCTGGGATCAAACCTGCACCTCTCTGCTCCAATCCTTGTACTCTGAACTTTAACAACTGGGCCACCATGGCCAGTGGTCAAGCCAAAATCATAGCATATAAATCCTACAAACAGATATTTCCAAGCACCGACAAAACTGGCCATGTTCGTCACACAGCGGGCGATTCTCACCCTCCCGCTCGCTCCTGACAGAAGAGCTTCTGTTTCTCTTGTTGCTGCTGTCGTTCTCGCGACGCCCGCTGTCTGAGTTGTTGGCCTCATCCTCATCTCTTGGCGCAGCTGGGAACGGGAACAACCAATCCATGGAATTTTTGTGTTGAGATGAAAGCAAAAACTGAACTATTTGACTTAAGCACAGCTATTCAAGTTCAAGAAGAACAGTGCTTGGCCAGTGATTATTTCAACTTTCTTCAAATACATCAAAATATATTTCATCATCACTTTAAAACCTAAAAGATATTATAAAAAATAAACTGAATTGCATCGCTCATATTGATTTAATTATGAAAATAATTAGAAATGGGAGACATGTTCGAAGGTCCAAACACAGTTGCTTAAAAGGAATTATAGATACGATAAATACTTAGCTCAGTCATTGAAATTATTCAAAATAAATATGTACTGCTCTTATTTTGCAGTCTTCATAAGCTCAAGCGTAAAAGAGCTGTGTTTGAAAGTCAACTGTTCTCGCAAAAAGTACGATATAGAAAGTCTTAAATAACCCCATTGCAGGTATATTCAGTAAGTATTGGTAAGACAATGCTGGCAAGACAAAGCAACTGACGAGACTGGTTCCTGGAAGTGGAGGACGCGCGTGAGGCGCCGCTGAAGGAAGGCTCCCTGGATGTCCTGTTGTTCTCGCCGGCTGAGGAGATCGCGCCATCGCTGTGGCGAGGCGAGTCCTCGAAGTCCATGAGCTCATCGTCGTCCACGTCAGTGAGCTCGTCCATGTCTTTGCTGCTGTTGCTCGGGGCTTCTATCTTCTTTTTGGGAGCTGTAATACAACAGACGTTACATAGATAATAGATATAATAGGATTTTGACCATTTAAAATCATGCAGTGAGAAAATGGCAAGTCCAGTAGTACCTAAATAGTTTTATTGATTGCTGAAAAAAGTTTTCTTCGATTGTAAGGCAGGAATATGTCTCAGCAGCAGGCTATTGATTCTGTATTAGTGCAAGGATGACATATATACCAATTAAATCTCTTTAACATCAAACAGCATATCTTTACCAAATAAGGAAACCACCAAATTAAGCTGAAGAGTTAGAACATTGTTACCTGTAATCGCTTCCTTGGGTCTCTTCTTTGTTCCAGAATCGCTGTTTCCAATGTTAGTTTTAACTCCGGGACCACTCGTGCTGCTATTTCCTAGTTCACAATTGTTTGGGCTGAGTGGAGCATTATTAGAGCTGCTCATCTTACTCAGAGTATCACTGTTCTTCATGCCAGCTCCACCCTCGCTGGAGCGGCGGCCGCCATGACTGACATTTGTCCTTGTAGAATGGCTGTTGCCCGAGCGAGTACGACCTCTTTGGGCCAATGAAAAATTTTGTAGTCATATTTTTCAGATTACAGTTGGTAGGTTTACAGATTTTTCAATGTCAAATATGAATTAGAATCCTCATATTCATTGCCTCCTTATTAATATAATTCAAATAGAAAATGAAAAATAATTATCTGCAAGCCAATGTGATCATACACATTCAGATGGGTAAGCATAGTATTAAAGAGTAATGAAAAAAAATTCATGTTTACAAAGTGAAAGTGTGTTAAAAAATATAACTCAGTACTCCCTGTAGTGAGTGACAAAGAGCGCATTTTCTCGTCGACGAAAACATGAAGTCACGGACAGACAGACGGACGAATGGACGGATGGACATGGCAAGCACAATAGGGCATTTTTTTCATATATGAGAAAATGTGCTAAAAAGAAGCAAATGAGGCTCTGAGATCCTCGTTCTGTGCTCAACTGACAGTCTAATTATAAACAGGAGATGTGATCTACCAGCATCACTAACCTGTTAATTTGGGGGTCAGTAGTATTGTCAGATCTTTTGTTCAGTTTACTGGCATCAGATCCTGAGGAGTGATGTCCTGATCTCTTCTTATCTGAAGAATAGTAGCAAGTTTAGAAAGCAGAAATGGAGAGACCAACAATAAGGCTTTGGTATAAGTGAAAATTATTGAATAAAATAAAATTACTTAAAAATTAAGAATTAAAATTATCCAGCAAAATCCAAAGCCATACATCACTCTTAGAACCACACGCTTAAAAATTTCAATGCACCTTTCTGAATTAATATTCAAGTCTTATTGGTAGTTCAGCTTAATCATATGCATTAAAAACTTAAGAGCAGTAAAATTATATATATTCGTTCATAAAAACCTATTGCTTTAACAACTGAAAACATAAATAATTACCAACTTACTAATTTTATCATCAGATACCACATCATTCAGTTCATCAAAATTCTCTCCCGATTCAAGAAGCTCATCCATAAGATCCACTTCTTCTCCTGGTCCTCCTGAAAAATTCCAATTACAAATCAAGTAAAAAATGATAACAAATGGGTAGTAAATACCGTACACTAAAATTCAGAGGTGGGAATGACTACAACTTGGATTGTACAACAAAATAAAATGTTTTGTACAGCTCATTTCATCTTTTCCTAAGAAGGAATATACCTATACATAGGTATGTATACTTGCCATATTCTAAAAGCTAATGTCAAAATTGTGCACAAGTTTACCAAAAAATAAAAATAAAATAAATACACAAGAATAATTTTTTAATGGTAGGACAATGAAAAAAATAGTGTTTTCAACTGATATATTGACATATCTCAATTGATATATATCAATGATACATATACCAAATCTTTTCACAATCCTATGAGTAATGGGAAAGTCTAAATAATGGGTACATTTTTTTCAAACTACATCAACAATTTTTCCAAACACAAATTGGCTTTCAAATATTGCACATTAATGTTATAATAATAATATTTGAAAATTTTGTCAGCAATTTGTATGGGTAAAATTTCCCAGAAGGCTAGAGGCATAGGGGAAACGATCTGATGTCATACGCAGCCCTAGCCCTGGCTTATCTGGACAGGTGGCTACTGCTTACACTTCCAGCCTCACTTTAAGGCTGTTCTTAAATATCACAAGGCCCAAACATTTAAATTTTAACCCATAAATTTTGTCACTAATTTCTGATAAATGAAGTAATATCTTGTACATCTTACTGTACTGTTAATAAAATATTAATTGACACAGTGGAAAATTTTACTGCAATTTGGTTTTAGTGAAAATTATATAATAATGGTCATTATATATAGGTATTCATTTCTTTCAAATAACATTTAAATAAATAAAATAACAATAAAACAATAACAATATAATAACAATCAAATTCATTTCTTTCAAAAAATACATTGTAGCTTTGTTTGAAGCTTGGTAGATAGCTACCATACTCAAGCATGGCAGACATTACAAGCAACTTGAGTAAATCTTGCAAATTTCTTTGACTTATTGTTGCCTTCATAAGTGATGCATAAAATGATAAACTATGTTAACTATATAATTTCATCACTATTTTGAGCTAAAAAGACTAACTGGATCATACGTATGGAACTTAGATGTTGAGGTCTTGTAAGACCAAGTGGACTGAAATGTAGCCTTACATTTTTTTTTCAATACATAAATTTCAACTTGCTACACTCATCTCTGAATTATTCAGTCACCATAATCATGACAAGAAACTAATGAACATCTTTTTTACTCAATTAATAAAATGTGGTCATTAGAGGATTAAGTGCAGTAGGTAACTACTCAAATGGAATTTATGTGTCATTGATGCTACAATAGTACATATGACTTGCTGGTCACTGCAGAATCAATGAAGCAGTAATCTAACGGCAAAATGTGTAGCTTCTCCAATCTTGTTCAATTTTATCTAGAAACAATGAAATCCTGGTCAGAAACGGTAATACTTCTGTAGTCAAGTATATAACCCAAAAAAAAATTTTCAACTGCCTGTCTCTCAATGTAAAAGATTTCACAAAACCAGGTTTTGAATTGAAGAATCTATGGTTACTTCAGAATTTCATTATTGTTCATTATTTTTAAAGAAAAAATGAAAATCTAATTGTTAAATAAATTTGAAAATTTTGAGCTCATATGTGATTGTTGTTTTATTAGTTATTACCAATTTGATAGAAGAAATTTGTACTCTAGTAGAAATTTCAGTAGCATGAAATTTATACTCTCTAGTTCCAGTATGGAAAGTTGATATTTTCTATACCTGCTCAAAATAGTGGCAAAGCAAGGACTTTTTTTAGATACTCTCTCAACAGTTCAACTCTCAAGTTCATTTTAGAGTCCTATAACTAGACCACTACAACCACTTGGCACTTAGACTGTTAGACAGACCGGTAAATCATAGTTATGATAGTATATAATACCAGCAATCCCAGCATTATCATACAAAAGACATTGAACTGGTCTAAATCTTGAGTAGACAATGAAATTAGAAATAAGCTGATTCTAAACATTTTCTGATTTGCCACTATGCCTGAGTGCTCACTCTGCTCAGATCCCAGAGTCAAGAATGGGGCAGAAGCCACTTGTGATTCAGACAAAAATGCTGGTAAATCTCATTACATTAACCCATTTTCATGAAGTTTTCCCAATTTATTCAGAGAACAATTAAAATAAGTGCTCATTTTCACAGTTTCTGCAATATTTGACAATCACCCACAGTCCCACACAATGATAGATTTTGCCTGCAATTTTAGGAAACTTCTGTGTCTCATTTTTCAAATTGGCTCAGGTCCTCACTCTCCTCAGGTTCAGGACTCGGGTGTCATTGATGATGAATAGTTTAACCTGCAAATCTAAGAAATCTTACCAATATTGATTAAAAATAAGTTGTATGTAAATATAATTTTATTAAAAGAATCAATAGCTAAAATAATCATAGTGGCAAAGCAGAATCTTTAGAATCAGCTCATTTTCAAGTTCCTCATCCACTCAATATTTTAATCAATTTCTTATGTATGATAATGCTGATACTCCAAGATACTCACTAGTTGACTTTTAGAACTCAAAAATGAACTTGAAGAATGGCAACAAAAAAATTGTTCTCCTTTACCACAATGGGCCCCCTTGAACTGAAGGTGAAGTGACTTGTTTGTTGGGATTAATTGACATAATGTTAACCGTAATAAAATACACATACTTCTTGATTATTTCAACTAATCTAAATAACAGTTCTCTCACCTCTACTGTCCATATTCTCCGAATTCATTCTCTGTTTACTAGAATCTGCCAAGATAATTGATTTGTGTCGAAATTCTGCTGCCACTTTTTGTACCGTTTCACGGATAGCTGTTGTAAACAAAGACAAATTAGAAAACGATGTTCGTTAGAAAAACGCGAGTATTTTCTAAACAGAGATCAATAAATATATATACTAATCCAAAAATAATGCTATCAATTAGATGAATGTAACATAACAGTTATTACTGAATACTGATCACATTTTATCAGTCAAATAGCAAGCGATATTGATAATTGTAAACCTCGCGAGAGGCACACAAACACTAAATTCGACGTTAACTGCATTTATAAAGAAGCAATTAAATGCGTCTATCTTTACCTACGATATGACGCTATTCAGGCTTAGAAAGTTACAAATATAAGAAAATTCTAGATCTATACCCCAGCTATCATTTCGATTCGAAAATATTGAAAGTGGAGGTTAATAATAGAAAATTACCACAGTTGATTACTCCCTTTTCTCATGATAATTGTTGAGAAATTTCTAAGACTTGACTATATTATAAATGAGATTGAGACGTGATATACTGGACTGGAGTGTAGCTACAATCAATTGTTTTTATATAGGGTATAAAAATTTCAGTACACTGATCAAGGCATTAATGTATAATTAAAAAATATAGCTTCACTTTAGCTTTAATTTCATAAGAAAAAATTATTTTCCGGCAAGTACTGTGTTAAAATAGTTAGGCTAACAGCTGTATACCATACCAATAATTAAAAGGCCAAATTCTCAGCTGACAGTCCTATGGTTTCACTCTACGCATGCGCTTGGAGTCAATCGGTTACTAGCCGCCGTAAAGTCAGGGTTGTGTCTAGGCGGGCTTCTTGGTCAGTGTCGTGAATCTTCGATCTCCCGAATCTCTATTTTGCTACGTGTGCACACATTTGATTGTTTGTATTGATAGGTACCGTTATACAGATTATGTTTCACATTTTAGTAAAGACATATACGTTTGTTGACACGAACGGTGGAGGAGTGGCTGGGCAACTTCATCGTGTTTCATTCACACGCCTGCCAGTGTCGTTGCGAGTCCTAGGAGTCCGCGCCGGTTTGCTTGTGTCTGGGTGCCAGCACGCTGTTATTATACAAAAATATCACAAAATTGACTTTTAAATTAATCGGGAGAAGTAAGGTAGCAATAATATATTGCTTTAATTAGTTTAATATCCAAAAATAACGGGTTAGAAATATATAGATAGTTTTATAGGTTAATACTTGTTTACTATGTATGCTCTTTGTCATACTTGACCGTACTGAGAATTCAAGTGTTTTTCCATTTCCTTATTCATTTTTAATGTTGTAAAGCCGGATGCATTGTAATGATTTTCATGAAGGCAACTAATTTAAATTCTGTGATGTTGAATTCCATACGAAAACTTTAGTGAATTAAGGTTAAAATCTATCATTATTATTATTATTTATTTTCTGGTGTTATAATTTAATTTTAATACTGCAACGTTCATGCGGCTGCGTGCGAATAGTGATGGGAAACGCGGTATAATTCTTGCGTGTAATTCAGAGTAATTCAACGTCTACAGAGGGTCAGGAGATTAACAACCATTTCCGCCGCTTGTACCCGAACTGAAAACATCACGATGTACATTTATTTTATTAGTGTAGGCTGGCAGAATTTCTTCTCTTAAGCAAGTTTTGTTAAAGACCAGAGAATTAGTTTTATTTATTAGCTTCTTGTTAGTTTTTTCAATAAGTCGTACTAAATTCTTCGTAGGTGTTTTGAAGATTGAAAATTAAATTACCGATAAACATTTCTAATATTGAACGACGTTTCGAATGTATAACATTCATTTTCAAGTTAAAGACGCATTGAGGTTGACATATGTACGAAATCAAGTAAATTTGATACCATTCAAATGCTAAAAAATGCTAAAATTTCGTTAACGTGATACTACCTACAGGAAGATTTTACAAGCGCAAAAAAAACTACTCGGAAAACAGTCTCAAAGTTCTGACGAAGCCGGTGGTTTGAAGGTTGATAGCTGGAGTCCTCTCCTTAATGATGAGGGCCTCAGCTATCGCCAGTCGTATAGGATCGGGGCACCGCATAACGATACTGGTGCATTCTTCCAATATCGGGCGAGTGATGGTCTCGTTGTGGGCCTCCTTCAAGTGATTCATTGGTCCTCCGGATCGGTAATTTAAAATTTAATGTCGACCAAGTTAAAATTTAATTTAAAAATGTCTATTGGTAATTTAATTTTCAATCTTCCAACACCTACGAAGAATTTAGTACGACTTATTGAAAAAACTAACAAGAAGCTAATAAATAAAACTGGTCTTTAACAAAACTTGCTTAAGAGATTTATTTTATTGTACACCTTCAGAAGAACCCTTTTCGCCATGATCGCTGCCATTCATTGTTGGCGCGTCTGTGAAAAATGTGAAGGCGAGCGTGCCGAGCGGAAAGGAGAACCCAATACGGGCAATACCTCAAGATTAGAAGCTGTTATCCAATATCCAGCTTGGCTCGTTAATTAATACTTGTCCTGAAGTTAATGGTGCAGTATCCTTCCTAAGGATATACAGCTTGGCTCATTCAATAACATTTGTTCTGAGGTTGACGGTGCATTACTTTGTCAATGCTAGGCGCTTAACACGGATCGATATCAAAGTCTATAACAACAGTTAAACCTTTACTATTTCGAGACAGATCAGTTCCTGCCTGTAAGGAAAGTCATGTGAGTGCAGTACATTTATATAGATTATAGAAGCTAGCACTAGTGAGCTGAACAGTGCATTAAAGTTGATGAGTATTTAATATTAACTTGGTAATTGTTATCTTTGCTCCCAATACCCATCATCTTAATTCTGCTGTCTCATTTTCATTATTTTTAGCGAAAGGTAAACCATAAGGCGCTTTCAGTATATTCTAAGGTAGCCTTATGTTAAAATCCGAAGATATTTCCTTTTCTGGGCACCAGACATTTATTCGGCATGACTTATTAACATACCGTGCTAAGTCATGGAATTTAGCTTCAGTTATATCGCAAAAAACATTGTACTGTCATTACTCGGATTGTAATTAATTGAACATCTTACATAGCTCACGATGAAAGTCGCCTTGCTTTCGTCGTAACGTCTTCCCTTCGAGGGCTCTGCTTCAAGGTCCTATCGCGTCAGGGGGGCGGGCGTCGACTGCTCCCTTTTTCTAGCCACGTAATTTTAATGGCCGAGGAGGCTTGCGTGAGGATTAGGAGGCAATGATGTTAATAGCCGAGCTGGCTTGAGTGTAGCAGGTTAGCAGGTAACTCGTGGTGAGGGCCATGCGAGCTGGCGAAAGTAATATCATTTAGAACGTGCTTTGAAAAATGTACACTGGATTTTTTTTTGTTGAGAAGGCAGTTGATGTCACGGGATCATGTGTTCACATTGCAAAAGGAGGCAAACTGATAAGAGCGTGCGGCATTAAATGCAGAGATATTTCCTTGGTTGGGGGGAAATTCAGCGCCAGCAACACTTCCAACGAGAAGTAATAAGTATATTAGTAAGCATATATTAAATTATCGTGGCCTTTGCAGTTAGTGCTTCACCGCACTCGCGTCGCGCAGTTTGGCTTCCACAGCTTCCTGGGCCTCCAACTTCGCCAATTACGAAACTCTGGGCTAGTCTTCCCCGCTTATGAAATCAAATTTTTTTTGTGTGCAAGAATTCCTGCAACGCTCAACTGCGAAGGAAACCGTGCAGACTCGTTTACTGCTGCTGAGCAATGATTGTCTGCTGCTGAGCAATGCTTGTCTGCTGCTGAGCAATGATTGTCTGCTGCTGAGCAATGCTTGTCTGCTGCTGAGCAATGCTTGTCTGCTGCTGAGCAATGCTTGTCTGCTGCTGAACAATGCTTGTCTGCTGCAGAGCAATGCTTGTCTGCTGCTGAGCAATGCTTGTCTGCTGCTGAACAATGCTTGGCTGCTGGTGAGCAATGCTTTGGAAAAATTTTATAATTTTTTTAATGCTAAAAATTTTCTATTTGCTCTAATGCACTTTGGATACAACGAATTTAAATAATTTATCTTCACCCTCCAGGGAAAATCTGTCCTGGATTTTTAGTGATCAAGAAAGAATGTGATAAAATTTAGGAACAGATGTCGAGACAATATTATTGCTGAAGAAACTGTGAATATTTTCCACGTTTCCTGAGAAAGTATCGGAACAATCGCAAGACTTCGCCGCGTCTCGGCATGGAGTGGCGTTCGGCTGATCCTGTACACATCAACGCTTCTGTTGATCTCAGTAAGTGGGTGTAATCTTACAGCGTACATATTATGTATTTGTTTGAAGATCAAGGTTCGAATTTTTGTGTAGATCTCGGTAAGCGAGTGAAATTTTTCGGCGTATGTTAAGCAAGTATTTTTGAGTCATAGGACGATACTTTTGTTTACATCTCAGTTGATGTAATCTAAATGCTTAGTAATAATGTGTTCCTTTATCATTACAATACTTCTTTATGTACATTTCAATAATTGATGGTAATCTTCCGACTTAGCGATGTATTTCCATGTCGTGATACTTACTCTGTATGCATTTCTAAGTGGATCTGCAATCTTCTCCAGTACTTCTTAGTCATGTTTTTTCGTTGCTTAGTTTTTTTATTCGTCAATTTATGTTAGGTTATCAACCTTGGAAATTACCATAGCCTATTTGTATAATGTTAATTGCTGGATAAGTGGTGAACTATAAATGTATTGTTGAAATGTTGAACTGATGTTGGAGCGTGCCTTCGAAAGGTTTCATTGATAATAGGGTAAATTCTCATGTCATTTTCTGTACTGTGAAACTGAAACTGTTTTAGTAAGGGCTTTAAACAATTTTCTGACCTCGAGTTCTCTTTTCGAGCCTTTAATTGTTCTCGTTTATAAGAATTCTTTTTTGCAGATTTTAAGAAATGGATTCGATCTAAAGGACTAATGATTTATTTCTCTATGATAAGTTGATAAGTACAGAACTCACTTTTGTATGTGCTCATGCAGTACTTGGAACAAACAGGTTGCGCGTCAGAAACATTTTTTAGCAAATTCGGCAACCGGCAAGAAGTTAAGGTAAGGAACTGGAACTTGAGATAGATTGGGGCTTAATTCTCAGCTCGTCTGCAATTCTGTGATGGAAAAATGTGGTTCTAGAAACTGGAATTGAACTTGGAATCTGGGCTGGAAATTTTTTAATCAAGAATGTAAATCATGAATGTTGAATGATAAATCTGAAAGTTAGGACGGTCCCTTCAAAATGTAGAATAAAAAATGTAGAATCTAGAAGGGAGAATTTGATAACTGGAATATGTTATAGAAGCTTACGGTAATATATATTGTACAGTCTCCCTAAGCTGTGTGTCCTCGCATGGCAATATTAAGCTCTGATTGCAGAGATTGCAGCAATGGCCAGCTGCAGCTGCTGCTGGCCGTGGTCGGCGGAGCCTCTTTACGTCAGTGTCTCGCCATACCCCGTACCGTAGAGACTATATTGATATTATTCTCTGAGCTACTCTTTACGTTCTCAGTTCATATATTAGTATTTTTCGATGATGAAATTGACAGATTTTGCCATAAATTGTTATCATGAAATCATGCATGTCTAAATTTACTATATCAAGAGTCGGGCTGGCTCGTTGCTATTAAGTCTAGGGTATTGAGACGCCACGTTCTGAGACGTCATCACCGCCCGCCTCAACTGCAGTCGCGCTACGGTTCTTATTAATTGCTCTGTTCGCGGAAGCCAAAATCAGATTAAAATTTTGCGATAATAATGAAAATTAACGAGGGAATGATGTTATCATTACTATTTTCCAACTGTGAGGTTTAAAGAATTTGGTATATTCAGGCTAGACAATTTTTCTTGTTCGTTTTTATGTGATATGATTGAAATGCGTCGCCAGATCCGAGCCATACAACAACGGCTTACATCGAGTCAATCCATGAATTTTTACACATTACCACGACTGTTTTTACCGTTCAAATAATGCCGATAATAGTGCTACGGTGAAATATGTTTTCAGATGATTAATTTGCAATATGTTGTGCGCTCTATTGCATCAATTTGCAACTCATTGATGATGACCGATGCATTTTCAGTATCTAAAGCTTTTTTGATTATTGTAGATTTTTTTACCTAATTAGGCAGATTTTCACGTATCAAATCACATGTGCATATTCTTTTCATTATTAAGCTGAATATATAAGCTTTTAATGGACTAAACATGTTTGAAAGCTTTAAAGAACTTTCAGAGAGATCTGGAATTTTGATGAACTTATTGCATAACTCAATGTGATTTGTGGAACTTTTTTGTATTTCTACGTTTAAGTTCTTAACACATCAATATTGAAAAGTACACACTTAAATAATCATGCTTGAATGGTGATGATGTGGTCAAATGATTTGAGTTTCTTAGATCTCTAAGGAAAGAGCAACACCACGAACCTCAATTGTTATTGGCTGAATTTGTACTTCTTCAGTCAATATACTGGATTTATTTAGAATGATCAAATGTTTTTATTCCACAGAAGAATCCTATCATAATCGGTGAAGCGTAGTTATGCATATTATGGTTGATGATATGTGAGGCAGTGAACGCAGCTCTGTACAAAATCTCTGCCAGTGTTTGATACCTAAGTCAAGTATCATAATTAATTGTAACATTGAGTCCTAGCCATTAAACTGTGTTCGGTGAGTAACAAGTTGTATATACTGTGTGAACACAGTCGCTCGTGTGGGTGACCGCAGCCATGGTGTTCCCTATAATTGACGACATGGAAATCTCAGGTGAGTATCGTTATCTTGATTCTCGGCACAATAATCATAATCTCACCTATCGCTGGAGTTACGTTCCAGACCTCGATAGGTGAAATTCGCAAAAGAAAATTGATTGATTGATAGTGCTGGAATAAGTATTTATATTGTAGATTTTATGTAAGTTTTCAATGTCTTAAGTGTTCACCAAGCCTTATCTGCCGATCGAGCTCCACGAACTGTGTCAGCAAACGAGCGATGAAGTGTATAGGTGAAGTGCGACATAGCGAGTGATTACTGCATGGTTTTTGCTTCGTCCGAGTCTCGTAGCTGCGAGAGAGACAGCAGCGATGCGACACAAGTTGTTCTTGTTCATGTGGGCGCACGTTAATTTGTCCTGACGCCAGAAAGTTCAGACCTGTTCGATCTAGAATTCCAAATTTATATTATTCATGTTTTCAAAATTATTTATTACGTGCTGTATAGCTTTGTCCAAAAATGGTGTTATTTTTTATTTGGAGCATATCATTGCAAGGTGATACCAGTAAGAAGTTGTTGCATTACTTTTTGGTATTACCCAACCAACATTGGAATTTGCGGAATTCGAATTAATTTAAAATGTAATAAATTTGGATCAAATGTACTCCGCAGGTTTTCATGAACTTTGTAAAAATACATAGAACCTCCGAATTCATTAGAGTTTTGATTAAAAAAATGTTGTGCGTTGGATGCGCATCTGTGCTAATGAAGTCCATTGATGACGTGCTGGATTGTGGTGAGGACGCTCATCGCTAAGGAGACTTTCTCGGTATACATGATTTTCATTAGTAATAAAGTGCGTTTTTAGCACGCAGTCAAGTTTCTGTTGTAACTATAACAATCGGAGTGTTGTCGCACGAAAAAGAGCAACACCAAAACGCTGCAAGCGCGTCGTTTGAGTTTGGTTGATTTCTGTACCTATTTCCGGGGGGAATTCACTTGATTTTAATACGGAATTTAACTAAATCCAAAGTCGGAAATTTGAGTTTGTGTGGACTTCACTCGATGATCGCAAGGCACTTGAGATGTGCACTGCGATGTTATTGCAAGTCGCTGCAGCTTTAACAATAAATCCTCGCCATATTTTTTTTATTTAATCAAGGCATGGCAGTTGGGTCGGGAAAACTTGCGCCAGGCTCGGATCTATGGCGTCTGTTTGCCTGTAAATATGGAAGCAAATTACAGGGCGACGCCCCTGCCTAATGCACAACCTCTCCATGGGGGCTCATTCCGGCCTTGTGTGTCCACAGCTGCAGGGATGAAGGAGAGTTTCATTCCATTCGAAATAACCGTGAAAATAAACCATTTCGCCGTCTTTTTTCAAATGTTGTACGGGTTTCTTGTGTTGAATCGGAAAAGACTGTGTCACGGTTTTTTTTCACGTGCCGGCCGGTCACTGAAATGTCGTTAATATCGTTCACCGTGATTTTTCGAACAGTGATACGATGCTCTCCCATATCGACGCGGTGCATTGATGCTGCTGCCTGAGCCATGGAACAGGCCTTCTCTGTAGCTCGCAACAAGACTGATCCTTGTGATTAGTTTCTTTGATACCCTTAAGGTGATGATAAACATGATGATAATGATACATTACGATAATGGTACCTTGTGATAATGGTACCTTGTGACAATGGGGCCTTGTGATAATGGTACCTTATGATAATGGTACCTTATGATAATGGTACCTTATGATAATGGTACCTCATGATAATGGTACCTCATGATAATGGTACCTTAATAATGGTGGTAATGGTACCTCATGATAATGGTACATCATGATAATGGTCGAGGTCGCGCAGTTTGCATGTTGCGGACTCATCGTCTACCGGGCGGCGCGTGTGGCGCCAGGCAGGCCGTGACTCACCGCCCACTGCGGATCAATGAAGTCGTCCGGCGCTGGCAACTGACCGTCTTCCCGCTATCGTCGGTCACGATACCGAGCCTTCCGTGAATTTCTTTAGTGTGAGTTAGCCACGGTATCATATCTTCGAACGTTGTGCTGCACCTCCTGGTATCATGGAGACCTGGACCTCCGCTTAGCCTCGTGGCCCTCCTCAGGTTTTTCGCTGAGCCGTGATCACCTCTCAGATCTGTTGGTTATTATCTTGCTCGCCGAGATGTGCCGAGCATCCCTCAGGTTTTCATGCAGGTTATCCTGCTCGCCGAGATGTGCCGAGCATCCCTCAGGTTTTCATGCAGGTTATCCTGCTCTCCGAGATGTGCCGAGCATCCCTCAGGTTTTCATGCAGATTATCCTGCTCGCCGAGATGTGCCGAGCATCCCTCAGGTTTTCATGTAGGTTATCCTGCTCTCCGAGATGTGCCGAGCATCCCTCAGGTTTTCATGCAGATTATCCTGCTCGCCGAGATGTGCCGAGCATCCCTCAGGTTTTCATGTAGGTTATCCTACTCACCGAGATGTGCCGAGCATCCCTCAGGTTTTCATGTAGGTTATCCTGCTCGGCGCTTCGCATTTCCGGCATGATTTATATTCAGGTCGAGCGTCGGGCCGACAGAGAGGATCTTTTGAGGCTCAGGCGGTTTCATCACCGGCCAGGTGGGGCCTGAGGATAAGACGTTTTATGCAGAAATGTTTTCATAGTAAGCGCCAATCATGCCTAATATGTCCCTGGTCATTTATTAAGAGCATTGTTGAATCTTGAATTACTATGCAGGATCTACCCGATCTCAGTTCGAAATTCTGGTGTTCACAACGAGTTTAACTCTTCTGCTTTGATCTGACTCCAAAAGATCTTGATATAATAATTAGTTAGTCGTCAATGATACAAAACTGATTTACACTAATTATTTACTTTATTTAACTCAAAACTTCAAACTCCCCAAAAAGTTTATCATCGAATTTATTTGGTCACTTGCAACGTTGGAAATTTGCCATCGTGAAAATCGATTTCGACTGGAAATAAGAGCTACGGGCGGTAAACTAGCTACGAAAATAAACTAGCTACACTCGAAAATTTAGAGTTTACAAATAAATATTGGGCTATCAAAATATCTAACATAAATTTCGACCGCACCAACCCCAAAATACAACGAAATCAAATCTCATAAGCATCTTTATTGCATTTTATTAGTGGCGCAAGAAACATTGGTTAGATATGTTACCACTTCTATAGTTAATCAAAACATCCTGCCTGTTTTCAATCCGCGGGCGAGGGTGAACATGAATTATTATCGCTTCGATTCCGCACCAATTATACTTGTGGTAAGGTCAGTGAGGGGTTTAGTTGCAAAGCCTGTAGCCTCCAGCCTTACTACGTATTGAAAAATGATACGCCTTACTCCTTATTGAAAATGATGAACAAATCCACTGTTTGAAATGGAGTTTATTAATCCGTTGGACTTCATTTTAATGTGGCAAAATTTTTAATGCCTTTGTTTAAGGAAGCCATTCATGATCTCGCTCAGGATCTCGCAATCAGCACCTTTAAACATTTAAACTATGATCATACCGTAGCTCGCTTCACAACGGGGCGTTAGGTTCAGGAGGCTTTTCAATTTAAACTTTACCTCGCCAGCCTCTCATTCACCGAGCGTTCAGGTGCCATATATCGAGGCCGTCGATATGTTTGCGCTGCGTCGCATACGCCGTCCTTTATAACGAAATTTAAAAATTTGGAGCACCCATCCGATGTCTCTTAAAGGCAAGTTATTGTATTTCGGACTTCGGTATTTTGGGTATTGATTTTAAGAAATTGAAATTTACTTCCACTCTGACAAATTTCGATCGCGAGTTTCAAAGTTTGGCTGTGTGATGCTGATTTGATTGTCTGGTCTTTCTCTGAAATGGTGAAATTAAATGCTATTTGTTTAACCAATCAAACTTATTTATGAAGTTTATACGAATTTGCGAAATATATTACTTATTATAGTAATTCACAATCGGTGTATTATTTTTATGAACAACCCAATTATTAGTACTTCGGCCACATCCAACAAAATCAAAATTATTTTCGTTTTTTTTTTCACTGATGATGCAAATCTTGAAATACCGGAAAATGTACTCGCAGAACCATAAACTTTTCAATGATGGAAATTCAAGTATGTGGATACTCCCTTGGTATTCAAGGAAACTGGCAAGCGTCACCTGCACAGCGTGCACCGCGAGTCACCGCACGCGGAATCTCAACCTGTCTGCCCTTGGTCGTGGGGAGGCTTTCAGGATAATCGAAGTGGTGGCTACTGGATGCCGTTAGTGTCAACTCCTTCTAACTGATACCGGTAGTCACATGTGAGGATAATACTCCAGAGACCTGCCTGCTAGCGCCGACAAATAACCGACACTGCTGACTATTCAGTATGAGTATTGGGTAGAAAAGGTACCAAGTATAATCGAGCACTTGCTTTTAGCATTCATCATTAACAGTGCTGTTTGAATTAGTGCGTTTGCATCCACAAGAAACATTCTGTGGTACAAAAACGCTTATTTAACAACGCGATCGCAAATTGTATCGAGGAAGACGGCCTAATGTTTTGTTTTTGAGGTTCCTTTTCGAAATAAGGAATAGCAGAGCGTTGCGCCTAGTACACTTTTCTTCTCCTTCCTTACTCTTAGTTAAGATCATTGTTCGAACAGGTTATCATGGCTCTCTCCTTAAAGGAACCGTACCTCCTGCATCGAGGCTCTTCGGCTCTTCCCGCAAAATCAATAAGTTCGGCATTTTTGAGGAGCACTTCCTGGCTGCGTTTTAGGTCGATGAGCGAGTGTCCTCATTTCGCCGTAATGGAGCGAAGGTGCGTCTAAAAATCTCCTCTGGCAGTTCAAAATTTGCTGCCTAAGATCTTGATGTGGATTTGTGGCTTGAGAATGAAAAGTTTCGACGCTGACAGCGGCTTGTGAAGAAGGAAGTAGAAATTGGCTTTATATTTTTAAGCGAAGATAATGTCTAACGGACAATATATTTGCTGGAGGAAATCATCCCCACGAAGAATATTGTTCGGTAAACAGCGTTATATTATAGCCGATTGCTTGTTATTTTGGGATGGTTCTCTACGATTGATTATACCAAGTTCACAAGTATTATTATAACACATGCGCAATTTCATCCCTGCTCGTTCATGACAGTTCGCGAATTCCTTGGAGTTGATTGAAAAATGATATAACGGGAGTGCTGGGGCGGGCATTGCACTCTCACCTAACTTGAACGCAGCTCCGCCTAACTGACCCTGCACCTGTTCGAATTATTCTGCGCATTCTTAGCGAGTCTAGTATTCATCTAACAAAAATAATGTTGGCCTATTGTTGTTTATTTCCGCCTTTCGTTTTAGTCACAGCTAAAAGATTGTGTTCTGCCTTCTATTGTGTTCTGCTTTCAATGCTCATTTATGCGAATTGAATATTTTCTAGAGAGCATTAGTGGAGAAAGCAGAAATGTTTTTGCTTGTTATGTTACCTATTTAATTTGAGGGTCGAATTTTTCGTCAATTGGATTTATTACTGTCCTAATTTTGTTTTTACATCTTATTTAGTAACCACTCTTATTTTGTAAATTGTTTTTTTTTTAATTTTTGTTTTGAATTTACCCTCACTTGAATGTGTTTATTTTATTTTCTACAAAATTTTTTCCAATAATTTGTTATTTCGTTTTTTATTTCACTTTTTATCTTTTGTTTTTCTATTTTTTTTTTTTTGGTTCAACATTGCAGGCGAGTACAGCAGCTCAGACGATGATGAGCTCGGCCCCTCATCCCCCATTTACTGCCCCCCTGCAGCCCCCCTCCTCACCACTCCCCTACACCGCACCACGAATCTGTTGGACGAAGCCAGACGTCGCCGACGACTGGACCAACTGGAACAACTGAAACGTGAGCAACTGATGCACCTGGACCAACTGGACGAAGCCGACGACAAGTTGCAACCCTTGCTAATCGCGCACACCGAACACAACCCCTCATTTCTGACCGACATACTCCACATCTCAGAGGATAGTTCATCCTTACTTAGTCCTTCCAACCCTGGTAGTTCCTCAGTAGGTGAAGTTAGGTCAGAGTTGGCGTCACTTGACGGCGGATCAGGTGTAGATGCTAACTTGTTAGCTGCTTCCGGTTTCGATGACAGCGAAAATGAGGATTCTTCATCTGGAAATCTTTCTTCAATTGAGGAGGCTCCAAACGAAATGCTTAACAAAAATGAAGCCCAAAACCTGATGCAGCATCTTTCTTCCGATACGCTGCAAAGCGATTTTCCTAGCAACTCGGACCACAACGGCTGCGAAGAAATAAATCTCCCAAACGCCTCCGCTTCTGCTCTGCATTCTGGGCAACTCGAGAAAGATTTCCCGAGTTATTGCCAGGAGTCTTGTCAGGAGCCGAAGTTAGACGGGGGCAGTTACTCGAATCTGCCGCAGTTTCCTACGCCTTGGGAGCCTCACGTTGATAATGGACATCATATAACAAATACGGGTAATTCATCATCGTTGAATCCAGACGAATCTCTTATCTTACTGACTGAACGTGATTCAGTAAGACAGACTGCGATACTCAACGAGGAAAGTTCTAAGAATACGCATTCTGGTTCTCATTCATCTGAGCGTCAGCGGAGAGGAGAAAAAATCTGTGGATTTGACTCCGTGTCTTCTCATCAGGAAGTTAATTCTTCTGCTAGTGGTAAGAAAAGTTTATCTTCTCTTCCGAAAGTTGAGCCTCCTTCCAGTGCTAAGAACACTTCCATAAGTCTATTTGAACTTCTTTTCTTTGTATGATAGCACAATGTTATTTTAATTAACACTTCATACGCATTTTTGAGCTCGACTCTCCCACCTCGTACGTAGCTGACTGCGTCCGCCAGCAAAGCTCGGGGTGTTAAGCCTAAATGTTTTATATTTTCTGTAATATTATTAGTCTCGTGTTAGCAGTAGAATTTTTTCCGTATGCATAATTTTCTTGCTACTGTATATAGGCGACTTGCAATCGCGCATAAAGTGCTTGCTAATGATATTTGACTCCCCATTAATTGTAATTCAAGTGTGTGCCGGTTATTTCTGTAATAATTGATCTCCAGGTCCCTTAATACCTCAGATCTGACGTAATTGTTGGTCAGCATTGAATAATTACGTCAGTTCAGTATTAAATTGGGCATCAAATTAATTCATTTATGCATAACTTGATTATGCGTTTCATCATTAGTTGGCGCCACCAGCAAGCCATGGAGCGTTGCCCCATCGAGTTTCCACGCGTCGCACAATACAGTGATTTCGTGATGAATTTTTTCAAATCGTATTTTACACATATAGTCGAATGTCCATTTGCGAGCGTCTGCTCGTACGAACAATTTGAGTTACGATCCACGTGTTCACTAACAGACGACGAATCGTCTACATCCAGAGCAAAGATCGCCCTGGAATACGAATAGTCTTCTCTCGTCCTTGCTACACATTTTCGGTTTCTCCTGCATGATGACTTTATTTCTCTTTCTCTTCGCTGATTTTGCCATTTCATCCTCGTTTTTGTGGAGTTTGCACCTATTGCGGTTTTTTGTACCTTCTTATTGCGCATTTTATTTCATAGTCCAGTTTTAATTTTCTTATATTGCTTCTACATGCGAACTTTGTTGATTTTCGGAATGAATAATTAGTAGGTTAGACAATGGTAGAGAAGTTCATACGCAGAGGCACCACAATATTTGCTACATTTGTTTTGCGTTCGTAACATCTTTCCTTATGGACCTTTAACAATAATCATGCATGAGATATATTCATTAGTATCATTAGAATTAATTGGTATCAGCCCGTAACCGAAACTAGTTATATAAGAGCGATGTAACACATGCGACAGTTCAACGCTGGCTGTTCAGAGGTCACGCCGTTTTGAATATTTCGTTACTTTATTTTCTATCCAACGAGATGCATTAGCGTACAATGCAGACGTGACGTCAATCCAGCCTGCTGCATGCAGATTTTCTCGGTGAGCTTCTCATCAGCAGTCGACCATCCATTGTACGATTGCAGCTCTTCTTATCTTGCTGAAAAACGCGAATTACTATTAATTATTAAAAGCTCGAAGTTTGATTATGCATGCATGTTTGCACCGACCACTTATAACGGAGACTATTGTCCCGACCAGCACTGCTAGTCATGCGTGTCCCGCGTTGTCCCGACCAGCACTGCTAGTCATGCGTGTCCCGTGGTGTCCCGACCAGCGCTGCTAGTCATGCGTGTCCCGCGGTGTCCCGACCAGCGCTGCTAGTCATGCGTGTCCCGTGGTGTCCCGACCAGCGCTGCTAGTCATGCGTGTCCCGTGGTGTCCCGACCAGCGCTGCTATGTCATGCGTGTCCCGTGGTGTCCCGACCAGCGCTGCTATGTCATGCGTGTAGGAATACCGAAACTTCTATCCGACCAAATCTGACGTAAAATATTGCGAACACACTGTTTGTGATATGTTTTGCAATCTCTAAATTTAAACCATTTCTCTACCTATGTCACTCAGTAAGGAATATATCGCCGAAAAAAATATTTTAAAAGTAATAACTTATTAACTGATCAAGGTTAGTCGCTCACTGATCAGTGATCAGACATGACGTCATAGATTTCATCGATCCCTGGATTACGCCATATGCAGGCCGCGTTATTTAACTATTCTTAATTTTAAACTGAAGCAACGAAGAGTTATTAAAAGCAGCGCAGATCCGTCGACCTTCTCATGTACATACATGTTCTGCCATTGTATTTACCCGAAACCACTTTTATCAGTTTTTTAAGCCTTTAAATGTGTCAATGGAAGGAAAGGCTGGATATCAAGTTAACAATTCTTACTTGCCGAAGTGCCGCTGATATTAGTTTTTCTATTTTATTTTCGATCGTGATATTTGGAAGGAGTAATTAATGTTTTCCTGCGCTTATTTATGCTAAAAAGTTATAACACCTGCTGTGATATGCTCGCGTTCACGCAACACGGTAAAGAATCTCGTGACTTATCCGCTTATACGTAACTTGGACGCGCCATTGTTTTGCTCGTTGTCGCCATGGCAACGAAGTCCTCGATACCCTTGCTCTTCTTCCCTCTCGTCTCTTTTTCTAGATTAAATTCTCCCCTCTTGCCTACGAGGTTAGCATTTGGTTCTTCATTTATTCTCTCTGAACTTCTGAAACGCGACGTACGCGCCGCCGGCCACAGGATTCGTTTTAAACGCCATTAATGATGAATGATGGCAGCTGCCGGACTTATGAGCCTTGCCAGACTTATGAGCCTTGCCAGGCTTATGAGCCTTGCCAGGCTTATGAGCCTTACCAGGCTTATGAGCCTTGCCAGGCTTATGAGCCTTGCCAGACTTATGAGCCTTGCCAGACTTATGAGCCTTGCCAGGCTTATGAGCCTTGCCAGGCTTATGAGCCTTGCCAGGCTTATGAGCCATGCATGTCTAGCACGCGCTAGACATGCGATGGTGGTGCGTTTCATGGGCGCGTGTGACGGGCACTCATGCGTGTAAAGCTCATCTTGCCAAAAATTATGTCAAAGTAAACATCAAAGCTGCAAGTCATCATATACATTATGTGGTCATTAAGGGGAATATTTCCATTACTCGTCTTTTTGAAAATTTATGTGCTCAACTCGTTCAGTTCAAATGAGTTTGTCTCACTCTACCTGAATTATTCACTTGCTGTTATGCGTCCCGACGTCAATCCATGAATAATTTTCATGTAGCTCATGATAAATATTGTCAGTGCTACTCCGCTAGCTATCTCAAATTTAATATAATAAATCGAGATGGTTTGCATCGAAGAAAAAGTTCCGGGGTTCTATTGTAACTATTAATTTGGTAAGCAAAGAGCAAAGTTGTATCCGAAGTTTTCCGTTTCCAGATTTTCAAATACATTTTTCTCGTGTAGGCTCAATTTTAATCGCAATGATATAATTGAAACTGTGTCAATTTATAGCCCTATTTGGAGGCTATTTTTATGGCTTCTATCGATGAAAGTTTTTTAATCATCAACCTAACGACTGCTTTCACTATTTACAGAGACAAAATTAAATCTAGTGACCCTTTATATTTATTATATCTATCGGTAATGGTTAGTTGGAATTTAATCTAACGTGGCGCGTGATGATCCAACTCCATATAACGCGTAACGTGGTAATCTAACTGCTAGGATTCAGAGCACGTTCACTCCATGGAGCGTTTAGTTTGGACGTAAAATTATCTGTACAGATAACTGCTGCTATCAACGCGATGGTAGTTTTTCCTACTCAGGCTCTGCCACGGCTCTCTCCCTTCTGTAGCAGCGCCACGCTACCTATATATTTACTCCCCCAACTCTGCCTAACTTTGGTCCCCCAACGCTGCCTAACTTTTGTCCCCCAACGCTGCCTAACTTTGGTCCCCCAAACTTTGGTCCCCCAACGCTGCCTAACTTTGGTCCCCCAACGCTGCCTAACTTTGGTCCCCCAACGCTGCCTAACTTTGGTCCCCCAACGCAACCTAACTTTGGTCCCCCAACGCTCGAGCTGCTCCCCATAGCTACCAGTAACTCCCCAGCTCGTGGCCTCACAGAGAGCAATGGCAATAACCGCCTTATTCTCCACAGCTTACGTGCTTTTCCGTGAATAATCTTGGAACGAAATGCACACTCAGACTCTCCATAGATCAAACGCATTTAATTCAACAGATTACTTCGATAAATGCGACTTTTCGGGTAATTTTTAGGCGTTCAGGCATTCTATGAACACGATCCTTACAGATTGTGCCCCTTTATGCTTCCCCTGAACGAAAGAATTGAAATCTCGAATATTTAATTTAGTATTATGATCAAAGACGCCATTTTCTGCCTTTTGCTTTTATTAACAAATAATAACACTTAATAGTCTATTGATCCGTACAAATGCGGTCAAGAAGTCAACTGATTATATTCGTGCAAATATCATATATTTGCAGGAAATTTTAGCGGTATTCGCATGCATAGAAAATTCGACTGACATCGAAGAATACACTGGCTAATATGTTGCGTTTTTATAAAAAATATTACCACTATGTAAATAAAACGTCCAGTAATCAATATTCAAATGATTAAACTTCCATTTTATAAAAGTCTTCTATTAAGCCGTAACCATCAATAACGTTTGCAATTTAATGCTAAGATAACATTAAAGATTAGTCAACGATCGGTAAAGAAATCATCAGAGCAACGAGAAATGCGTAATGCGCCCTGCGATGCCCGATGGAATGCGCTTTGCAATGGATCCCCTCGTAAAGTCATCACTTCGGGTTGACTATCATCCTGACTCACTAACTTCGCTCTTTACGATGTACAAATTTGCCAGAATAATCATTATTACCATGAGCAGTATTAACAATTTTCCACAAGAGAGTATTAGTACTTGTCGAATCTTTGGTCTGTTATTAAATAATTGCTACAAGAAATCCTGTAGGGCCCCACTAGCCGTTAGGGCCTTTGGCGTTCATCACTTCACTCTTGCCTAAATATTATCATTTATATAAATTTTTTCATATTGTTTACAATTATGAAGAATATAGTTCATTCAACAAAAACGTAGCACAAACCGCTACATTTTACGTATTATTGAATTTTAGCACCATTCTACTTATTGTTTAACTTCAGCGGACTGTTTAACATTAGCAAATCGTATTATGCTTCGCTGGTCACAGTTCTGCTCCTCATATTAAATGTATTAAACTTATTATTTCTGCCACCTGATACGCCATTCCTGCCATGTTTCGTCAGCCACTCAGCCATCTCAGGTCAGCGG